TGGGACTTCTCATTCCATGGAGACCACCTCTCAGACTGGCTAACCATGGTAGTGTCATGGCCAGAGGCCACATGGATGCCACTTGCAGAATCCTCAAGACCAACACAGACATGAATGCCACCGACGAGAGGTGGCTGTTAACAGAATCAGGCACAGAACGATTTAGAAGGGTCAGGAAAGGCTTGATGGTGGGAATGTGGCCAGTTTGAGAATTTCTAGCACAAGTAGACTTTGACAAGCAGACGAAAGCACTAAACTAAAACAGACCCATTTGATCGGACTGAACACAGTGGTTTATCTTTAAAACTGCTATAGCTTCAGGCAGATAGCTCTGGGGTGTGGGGAGGGGCAGAGAGAACTCCTGGACAAGGACAGTAGTGTGGTGATTTCGGGAGTGGTGGGGGATGGGAGGAGGTGGAAGAGGCCATGGAGGGGATACATGGTGATAGAAAAAATTAAATTAAAAATTTAAAAAACTTCTATGTCTTTACTCTGTTACCATCATAGAATGGTTTTCTGTAAAACTGCCCGGGCCTACTTGGAAGCCTAGGGAGGCTTCACCACGGATTTGGGCTGCAGAGGTGTATTCCGGTGGTGCTGTCTTTCTGGTTCCACTTCCCCCGCCATGCCCAGGGTCCGGAGTCAGTGTGCTCAGGGCCGGGGTGTCTGTTCTGCCCACTCTGCAGACGGTTTCTTTCAGGGAGCACTGGGCACTGCGCTTCATTGTCGTGCTTCCCTGTCTGGGCTGGGAGCAGAGAGCTCGCTGAAGCCATCGGGTGTGGTTGGTTTTGTTTGACAGTCCAGCAACCTCCGTAAATCATTGATTAATTCTAATAATTTACCTTCAGAATCTTACAAATATTCTTCATACATAACCATGGAGTCTGAGCAATGATAGTTTTGGCTCTTCCTTCCCAACCTATTTTACTTCCCTTTTTGCCTGCAGCGTCTGGCTGAGACTTCCAGACATGTCAAATATAAGTGGTGGTGGCAACCGTGATTTACCCCCAGTCAGGGTTGGGGGTGCTCCTTTCCACCAGTATTTCACTGTAATGTAGATATAAGGACATTTATTCCTATTCCTACTTTGCTAAGATTTTTTTTTTTTTAATCATGAGTATTTGGTAAACTTTAGCAGATGTTTTTCCTACATATATTGAGATAACTATGGTTCTTCTTTCTAAAAATATGGTGAATTACATTGCTTTCTTTTATTTTTATTTTTTGTTAATCCTTACCTGAGGATATTTTTCCATTAATTTTTAGATAGAGTGGAAGGGAGGGAGGGAGAGAGAGCGAGACAGAGAGAGAGAGACATCAATGTGAGAGAGACACATTGATTGGTTGCCTCCTGTACCACCCCGACCAGGGCCAGGGATCTAACCCGAAACTCAGGTCCATGCCCTTGACCGGAAATCGAACCTTTGACTCTTTGGTCCACCAACTGCTGAGCCAAACTGGCCAGGGCTTGATTGCATTTTTTTTTAATCGACTTTTTTTTAAAAAACAGTTTCAGGTTCACAAGAAAATTTGAGCGAAATGAACCGATTGCCCATATACCCAGTGCCCTCATAAATGCACAGCCTCCCATTATCCCCACAGAGTGATACATTTGTTACAAGAGATGAACCTACACCAATACATTGTAACCACTCAGAGTCATAGTTTACATTAGGTTCAGTCACTCAAAGGTTTACACAAATGTATAATACAATAACATGTTCTCAGCATAATAATATACAGAGTATTTTCACTGCGCTAAAACCCCTCTGTGCCCAGCTATTCATCCTCCCACACTCCCCCACCCCCACTGCCAACTTCTGCATCCACTGACCTTTTCACTGTCTCTGGTGTTGCCTTTCCCAGAATGTCATACAGCTGCAACCACACGGGATGCAGCTCTTTCAGATGGCTTCTGTCACTTAGTGACATGCCGTTAAGTTCCCTCCAAGTCTTTCCATGGCTTGACGGCTCATTTCTTTTTAGAACTGAGTACTATTCCACTGTCTGCATGAACCACAGTTTGTTTATCCATCACCTCCTGGAGGACATCTTGGTTGCTTCCAGGTTTTGGTGACTGTGAATAAAGCTGCTGTAAATACTGGTTGCTTTTTAGATATTTAACCACGTTTGCATTTCTTTTTTTTTTTTATCATCCTCACCCGAGGACATTTTTCCATTCTTTGTTCAGGTAGAGTGGGAGGGAGAGAGAGGAACAGAGAGAGAGAGAAACATGGACGTGAAAGGGACACATCGAGTGGCTGCCACCCACACAACCCAACCAGGGTCAGGGACAAACTGCAACCGAGGTACGTGCCCTTAGCGGGAACCGAACCCAGGTCTCTCCGGACCGCAGGCCGATGCTCTAACCGCTGAGCCAAACTGGCCAGGGCACGTTTGCATTTCTTGAATAAACTCTTTAAAACAATTTTTTTTCTTTATTGATTTGAAAGGGAGAGAGAGAGAGAGAGAGAGAGAGAGAGAGAGAGAGAGAAACATCCATGAGAGAGAACATCAATTGGCTGCCTCCTGCATGCTCCCCACTGGAGATTGGGCCCACAACCTGAGCATGTGTCCTGACCAGGAATCAAACTGGCGACCTCTTGGTGCCTGGGTTGACACTCAACCACTGAGCCACACCGGCCAGGCAAATAAACTCTTCTTGATCCTAATACATGTTTCTTTTAAAATATTGCTAAGAAAATGTCTGTGTTTTGCACAGATTTTGCCCCTGTGTTGATAAGAAAGCTGGACGTGCGCCCTTTCTCTCACTGTTCTCAATGATCATGGTCTGTGTTGCTTTTCACTGGACTCCTAAAACAGGCGGGAGGTGTTCCCTGTTCTCTGGAAGAATTTCAGCAAGGTTAATATTATTTGTTCCTTAAACTGTTGAAACAATTCAAAGATTTCTTTGTGGAAAGAATCTTAATTACAAATTATTTATTTTTAGTAGAATAGGTCTATTTAGGGTTTATATTTCTTGTTTTGGTTTTGGGAAGGTGTACTTTGTGAGGAATTGTGCATGCATCTAAATTTTCATATTTATTGGCATAAAGTTGTTCAGAATCTCTTATTAATATTTTAATATTCTAATATTACCTCTTATTATTAACGTTTTCTTACCTGTTCTCCTTCGCCCTTGATATTGCTAGTTTTTCCCCTTTTCTCGTGATTAAACTTGCTAGAGGTCTGCCATATGTCAGTTGCATCATTCTTTTCAAAGAAATAACTTCATTTTGTTCGGCTTTTAAATTATACTGTTAGTTATTAATTACTTAAAATCATTGATTTCCAATCTACGTTTCCAAAATACGCATTTAAAAGTGTAGATTTTAATCTAAGCAGAATCTTATCTGCATCCAGTTTTTTTGTTTTTGTTTTTAATCCACACCCGAGGACACCTTTTCATTTTTTGTTCAGATAGAGTGGGAGGGAGAGAGAGGAAGAGAGAGAGAGAGAGAGAGAGAGAAAGAAACATCGATGTGAAAGGGACACATCGAGTAGCTGCCACCTGCACAACCAACCAGGGCCGGGGACAAACTGCAACTGAGGTATGCGCCCTTAGCAGCAACCGAACCCGGTCTTTCTCTACCGCAGGCCGACGCTCTAACCACTGAGCCAAACCGGCCAGGGCTTCGATATTTTCATTATGTCATTCAGTTCAAAATACTTTGAGCTCCTTTTTGGCTAATGGGTTACCTGAGTTGCGTTGCTTAATTCCCAGACAACTGGGATTTTCTGGTTGTCTTTTTGTTGTTGTCCAGCTTAAAGCCAGACACAGAATGTTCTCGGAATAATTGCAGTCCTTCGATAGTTATTGAATCTTTCTCTTTCACCAAGCATGTGGTCAATTTAGTAACTATTTCATGTGCATATTTAGTAAAAATTTCACTTGCGTAGATGAATTGCTATTGGGCGTAGTGGTTTCTGTGTTGATGAAATCAAGTTTGTTACCGTGTTGTTCAGATCTGCTGTAAGTTAGAAGGGTCTCATCAATCAGGTGTGCTCCTTCTCCTCTCTGGCCCTCCCTTCCCTCGCTTAACTCCTCCTTGGTTGGCCTTCAGGACTGGTGAGTGTCTTAAAGGGACAACAGCAGAGCGTGTGGCTCGGTTCCTACCCTGTCCTTCTCACCAGGACCCTGGGCCCTCACACTCACGCCTTGGTCTTTCACTGCCGAAAGCTCTGCTGGGTTCTCTTTCATCAGTGGCTTTTTCTGGGCTCTTCAGGCCCTTGGAGAAACAGAATTGGCAAATGCCCTTTGGGAAGCGGCAGCCATCTCTGCCACCTGTTGTCGGGTTGCCTCTCGATGTCTGAGATGCCAAGGGGACTCCAGACGTTGTTCATGTTGTGTGTCAACCTGGCTTTGCTGGGTTTCCCAGTGGGCGTTTCCGTCTCGCCCAAGCTTTTCCCTCACGCTCAAATGTAAGTACTGTCCTACTTTTTTAAAAATGTAATTGTTTCTGTTTTTTGTGGGGGTTTTTTTGGGTTTTGTTTTCTGTTTTGATGTGTCTGACTCTCCTGCAAGGTGACTGACTAGGCAGGAGGACCTTGTTCTATCTGTGGTTGTCTGTCACCAACGCCCACTCTGCAAGGACACTCGCTGAGCTGTCTTGTGAGCAGGGAACCTGTTCTTGGTAAATATTCTCAGAGCGGGCGGCGAAATCGACATGCTTGGTTTTCCTGACGGGTTTTCCCACACATTTAGTCTGTGATTAAAGGGGGGGATTACATTGTTTATATATAATACAGTGCATTTTTGACAGAGCTGAAATAGGACTCCTGGCCTTTTACTAGTTTGTATAATAAAGATTACCATGAACCAGGTCCTGCTCTGAGTGTGGGTATGGGATATAGGGGACAGTCTTGTTGGACTAGATCCCAGTTCTCTTCAAGCATGAGGAGAGGACATAAACCAGTGTTGTTAATATGATTATCCACTATCATTTCAATCAGTAGATTTCAAATGTGGTACAGTGAAAATTTTGTTTTTTCTTTTACAGAATATGACAGGTACCTAGCATCTAGCAAAATAATGGCAGCTGCTTACCTGGACCCAAACTTGAATCACACACCAAATTCGAGTACCAAGACGCACCTGGGTGCCAGTGTGGAACGTTCCCCAGGAGCCATGGAGCGAGTGCTAAAGGTCTTTCATTATTTTGAAAGCAACAGTGAGCCGACCACTTGGGCCAGTATCATTAGGCATGGAGATGCCACTGATGTCAGGGTGAGCACATTTCCTTGCGGACAGAATCGTGTATGTCAGTTAGATGTTGATGGCACTTACAAAGTAATAATTCTTATTCCCATATTGCAGAGATGTTAACTTTTTCTTTTTTATTGATTTTAGAGAGAGAGGAAGGGAGAGGGAGAGAGAGATAGAAACATTGATGAGAGAGAACATCCATTGGCTGCCTCCTGCATGTCCCCAACTGGGGATCTGGCCCACACCTGCACATGTGCCCTGATTGGGAATCGAACCGGCAACCTCCTGGTGCATGGGTTATGCTCAATCAGTGAACCACACCAGCCAGGCAACTTTTTCTTTATAACATTTATTCCGCTAATGTGTGGTTGACCAGAGTTTAGACTGTTGTAAAATTTCTTAGAAAAATAATAACTGAATCATATATATGCCATTGACTTGTTTTTCTCCCCTGGTTTCATTTTTAATTTTGCAGAGGATACAAAGAAACAAAGCAATTAAAACAGCCTCTGATACTGTGAAATAAGAAAGTTATTTTCTAGAAAGTGTAATTTTGAAGGTATTTTCATGATTCCAAATAGGATAATTTCTTACAAGTTGTTGGCTATCTTCTAAATATCAGACACTTGGCAAGGCTCTGGAGATAGACAAGGTCTTGCTGGGACAGCTCACAGTGTGTCGGGGAGACACCGTGACCGTCACACAGTGCAGCAGGTGCTTCCTGGGGTGTCCCGGTAACGAGGAAGAGCGAGGAGGAACCCTGGATGTGAGATTAGCCTGGACAGGGTTTCCTGTGGGTGCTGAGTGAGAGTTAGATCAGGAATTCTGGGTGGAGCACATCCTAGACAAAGGTTACTGAGATGAGTTTACTTTGATCAAATGGTAAAGGACCCTTCCTCCTTCCTGCCGCCTCCGCTTAGTCCATGTCCACCTTTAAGGAGGACCAGGTGTCCAGTGACTGAGATGAACAGATATGTCTCCCCTCCTTTCTTTTTATAATAGTGATACGAATTAACTTGCTACTCTTTAATTTATATGTCTTAACAACTTTTAAACACAATAAAGAGAATGGTAGAATTTAGATTTAAGGCTACAGTATTACATTTGAATTATGTGTAATTTTCTGGTGTGTCTGTAATATTGCAATACTGACTATTCAAATGGATTAATTAAAAAGAGAATCATTCAGGATTGAAATGTGTATTAATACCTATTCACGTGCTATCATTGAAATATAGTCTCTTTTTATAAACTTTTTAAAAAGTTTGCTGGCTTTTTCTACAGTTCTGCTTTATATTTAGCCTTAGAAACCTGATCACTTGGTAGAAAGGCCTGTGGCCAGTATTCCACCTTCACATAAGCTGGTGATAATGGTAAGAGAACCCTTGCAGATGTAACATTTATGGGAAGGCTGTGTGTATCTTCCTGTCCTGGTAAATTTCAATTATAGTGAACAAGGAAATTCTTTAGACCACTGCTTCAGCCTTAGTCAGCTCGGAACATTTGTGCAGGAGAGGAGCTGTCAAAGGTTATGTATCTGTCACGATGCTTGGTAGATATTTAAGATCTATTATATCAGAAAAGTCATGTTGGAAAGATTCCACGACAAGTGTACCGTGGCTTTAGTAGCATACTTCCTGCACCTGAGATAGTATGTTGAGAGAGGATGGTGGTCACTGGGCACAGGCCAGCCTTTAGCCTATGTTAGAAACTTACCAGGCATCAGAATATACATGTTGGGAAGAAAAATCTAAACTAGATGCACACACATAAGATACATGAGCATGTCTGTCAAACTTCTATGGAGAGCCACCTGGGGAGATCTGTGGCCGGAAAAAAAGTTGTTTCATTTTATTATTATTATTTTTTAAAATTATTTTGTTACAGATGTTTCTTCTTTTTCCTTCATTGACACCCTCTCCTGTTCCCGCCCTGCAAGTTGTTTTATTTCATAGTAATTGACAGCTATTCTTAGATACCCCTATCAGTTGATGATGTTCAGCTCAAGGCAGAGAGCTCTGGACTGGCGCTGGTTGCCAGCAGCCTTTCCTGGACTCGCATGAGATCCACATGGCACGGGGTCACTGTGGTGGAAGTGGGGGTCCCTAACCCACTCTCATCAATCCTTCGATGCTGTGACATTGGAAAATGTGGTATTTTAATACACAGCAAAGGAATCCACCTGCACATTGGAAAGACAGCCCAGTGAGCGGGAGGACTGTCTGCGGCAGTGCTGTGTCGTCACGGCCATGCTGTGTGGTCTGAGCAGGGTCCGAGCAGCTGTCTCTGAGAGGAGCCGGCGACACTTCCCTAGAACCTGGCTGCTGATTATTATGGGTTCGAATAATTTTGGTGTTTGAGACTATAGAAGTCTTAGAAAGCTAAGCTTTTCCTTTGAATTCAACTCCAGTTGATGCAGTAGGTAAACCTAGTCCCTTATCTCCCTAGAAACAGCCATTTTTCTAAATGTCTGTATTTCTGAAGTAACATGGGTTCATACTAGTGTGTGTGTGTATTATGGAAACGGCCACGTTTGCACGTGGTACCATCATAGCTCCTGTCCTGCGCAGCGCGGGGATCTGAGCGTTGGCAAGGAGAAGCCGCAGAGGGGCCTGTGAGAGAGTCACTAGAGAAAGATGTGCCTTCCTCACGGAATAGCCAGTTCCGAAGGTTAAGTGTTCAGCTGCGCGCACCCAGACGCGTGGTTCTCAGAGGTGCTTGCGTGACCTGGCACGTGTGCTTAGTGCCCCCTGTGCCAGTGCCTGGCAGCCACCGCGTCAGGGAGACTGCCGAGCACTGGGGCCGGGACTAGCACAGAACACAACATGGGAGCATAATAGAAGGAAATGTCTCTGTGTTACTGCTTTTAATTTTCTAGTGAAGAGTAAAAGCCGTGACCTTGCTCAGTCCCCAGGTACTGGGCATGGCAGCGCCTTTGCCACGCAGCCAAACTCGGAACCCTGCGTGTCTGCGGGCACTGTGACCAGGTGCACTGACTGCAATTCTGTCAGTTCCACAAAACCCCAAACTGGGAACCTGCTTTTCCCTCGTAAGCACCACAGTTTAGACCAAGCCTGTCCAGTCAGCACTGTCTCTCTGCAGAGCCTCCTATGTGTGCCCCATGAGTTCAGAGGACACAAAGTAGCCTTGGCGAGGGGTCATCAGGGAAGGCACCCAGAGAAGGTGGGAGTTCCTCTGCCGTGTTTGTGCAAATACAGGTCTAAGGACTGGCATGGAAGGACAGGCAGGTGCACAGGGACAGACAACCAGACAGATGTGAATGGCAGCCCCAGCAGGAGGAGGAAGGTCGCAGCGCCCGCTGCTGTGGAGCAGAGACGCCCTGTGCTTCAGCAAGGGTGGCTGGTGCTGGTGAGCGCTGGCCGTGAACCGGCAGGGCCGGGCCGCAGACAAAGGCGCCTTTGTGGGGTCTGAAAGCGGCGCCAGCTCCTGTCCTGCGCAGCGCGGGGATCTGAGCGTTGGCAAGGAGAAGCCGCAGAGGGGCCTGTGAGAGAGTCACTAGAGAAAGATGTGCCTTCCTCTAGACAGACCCCCCCCTCCCAGAGCTCGGGCTGGATGTCAGTCGTCCCCCCCCCCCCCCGCCCCCTTGGCTGAGCGCCCTCCGGTAGGGCACAGCCCGCACCGTCATTCCCAGTGGCCTTGTCACAAGTCCCTGGCCTTGAACCCAAAGCCAGGAAGGATGTTTTATGCCTAGCTTTGTTCCACCCATCCTTCCTGTCCCGTGAGAATTCTTTAGAAAGCTGTCTTTGACTCTTCCAGCCTGGACCTTTGTTCCCTCCCTCCTTCCGTCCCTCCCACAACACTCCTGTGCCTCACAGAGCTTGTGCCGGGCTGAGCAGTCTGACAGGGGGGTCGGCCACATGCAGCCACCAGGAGCACAGCGTACAAATGGCCGTAGTGTGGGCACTCGGGGTCCTTGCTGGTTTTTGTGTATAGTACGTGTTACTATCTTTTCTCATGGGGAGGGCTGGGAGCACCCTTAAGTGTGTCATCAACAGCATTGTGCTGTCATAAAGAAATACTACTGTCTGCAGGAATTTTAGGATGTGTCTTACATTTTAATAGTTCCAGTTAATTGTAAATTAAAAAATTTTTTTTTTGTTCAGTGTTTAGAGGGAGAGGGAGAGGGAGAGGAAAGATGAAAACATCGATGAGAGAGAACATTGAATGACTGCCTCCTGCACGCCCCCCATGGGGAATTTGGCCCACATCCTGGGCACGTGCCCTGACTGGGAATTGAACCGGCGACCTCTTGGTGCATGGGTTGAGGCTCAACCACTGAGCCACACTGGCCGGGCAGTTGATTGTAAATTTTTAAAAACCACTGATGGTTTTCTTTAATAGACATTTATGTATTAATACCAGCATCATTAAAAACACATTATAAATGGCCTAAAAGATTGAGGAGATTCTGGAGACTGTGACTAGCACACCCTCATGCAAGAGCAGTGATGGTTTTGTTCCCAAGTGAGTGGTCCGTGTGTGCCTGTTCACAGGCACACATGCATGTGACTCACATGGTGCAGGTGTGGGCGAGAGTCAGGCCCACCGCTGCCCTCTCCACGGCCCAGAGGAAACTGCTTTCTCCAGGAAGCCTTCCCTGATGGCCTCCTTCAGAGGTTACCTTCACCGCCAGTGAGCTCGCGGGCCACAGAGGCTGGAAGCATCAGACTTGGGGGCTATTTTAGATTGCTGTGTATTACTCTGTGGAGTGCTAATAGATAGGTTAGGCCCAACTTCAAATAACTTTTCATATGTCATCAATGTTATCAGAGACATGGTCTTAATTATATATTCCTAAATGTGTGTTATTTTTTTTAAAAAAAATATTAACTGTAGCCTGGTTTTGAACAATATGCTGTCCTTCATTCAGAAATGTAACCCCTTCTGGGGTCTGGTCCTCAGCAAGTGATGCAGAAGGGCGGCTGGTGCACGTGGCAAGTCTGGGCGCGCAGAGCTGCGGACCAGCTGCATCTCCGTGCCTTGTTCACCTCTTGTCTCAGCGTGTCCTTGTTCCTAAGAATACTATTTGAGAAAAAGAGTCCTAGGTGAAATTCAACTTAAGTTGAAACTCTTTTACCAAAGATTTCTGATAATTAATGAAAAGAAACGCCCATTGCCTTAATTCCACATGTAGTTTTTTGTGTGTAATAGTCATTTTCTGTGGGGGTGTTTTTAGGGCATCATTCAGAAGATAGTGGACAGTCACAAAGTAAAGCACGTGGCCTGCTACGGATTTCGGCTCAGTCACCTGCGGTCGGAGGAGGTTCACTGGCTCCACTTGGACATGGGCGTGTCCAGCGTGAGGGAGAAGTATGAGCTCGCACACCCGCCAGAGGAGTGGAAGTAAGGTCACACACCTGCTTCGTGTCACTCACACTGCTCTGTTTTCTAGACTCAGCCATGCATAAGAGGGTGAATGTCGTTGCTTGCTCTTCACGCTGGTTGTCCTTGTGATTCCTGTATGAAGTTGGCTGGTGACTGCCAGCCAGTGATCTGTCCTAATGTGTGTCTCTGGGGCACCACTGACTTCTTCCACTGTGATGGTCTGTTGCTGGTCCCACTTCCCACGTCTGTGCTGTTTGTTCTGACTCTGACTCCCACTGTCTGTTCCGCTGCGTCCTTCAGTGTGCAGGACTTGATTCGCCTGGAGGAGGACACGCCGCTGATCTCGTCACCGGGCTGCATCGCTTGCTCTGTGGTCCCGGGCTGTGTATCCGATGTTCACAGAGGACGTTACATCAGGAAGGGATCTCCTAGTGGCTTGTGCTGACTTAGTGAAACTGACGACTCGGGTAAACTGAAGGAGCTCCCTGCAGTTGTCCTTCCCCTGGTTCTCTCCTCCGATGTTGGGTGGAAGCGGACATCTGACAGTTATGTTGGAGAGAGTATGGCCTGGGCCAGCCGTCGGTGTTGTCACCTCTGCGGGGACACGTGGGATCACGACTGAAGCAGGCAGTCAGACGGCAGCACTTCTCCAAGCATCTGCATCGAGTAGACATTTTCAGAGGAAAACTGACAGTTTAGGTTCAGAAACCTCTAGTTGAATTGAATCTTGTGCCAGTTAGAGTTCATTAAAAAAACAGACTTATATTTTCAGATTTATCAAATAGCAGGAACTGATGACATCAATGGCTAGCGGAGATTCAACCTGCAACTATTTAGTCAGTTAATGAAATAAGTGTTTAAAACTACGACTCTAAAAATCAGTTAACAATACCCGCGGACACTTCTATTTCACACACTTCCAGTGTCCTCTTTTGTTGTTGTTGTGATTTTAAGAGGCTTTATTTTTAAAACAGGTCACAGCACGAAACCTCTGGCCTGCTCTGCCAGCTGCAGACATTGCCCAGCTCCGCGGCAGCGTGTCTGAGAGCTGGGCAGAGTCCGCACGAAGCGCACTCAGGTAGTCTCCACAGGCACACTCAGGCCAAGGCCATTCTTAGCGCGCCACGGAATGTTTGCCGAATGTCAGTCTCTGAGGGGAGGGCTTTTGTTTTTGTTCTTTTAAGCCAATTGATTTGACCTTAGTTCAGGTAGAGTTGAGTAGGCACTACTTTATCCATCGGAGCCTGAGTCCTCAAAAGTCAGAACCATGTGGACTGGGTGAGATAGGACCTCACATGGTCCGACCCTGCGCCATGAGGGAGATGCTGCCAGTAATGACACTGCGGACGGTGGTGACATCACCACTGTGTGGCTGAGAAGAGCCAGGGGCCGTGCCAGCTACATGCTGTTCATATCTGTATGTTAGTAATTTGTAAGATGTGTTCTCACTCAACCTTCCTCTAACCTCGTGAGGTGAAGACTGCCAGTGCCCTGTCCTGTGGACGGAAGCAGGGGCGCAGCACTGCGAGCTCAGGTCGCGCTCACGGGTACTGAGAGCCAGCCCACCCTCTCGGCAGGGCGGAGTGCTCCTCGGCTGCAGCGTGAGCCAGGCTCATACGTCTAGTGACAGTTGCATGGATGTAGGTGGAGGTATGAAAGAAAATGTATTCAGAGACACAATCGACACCAATGTGGTGTTTTCCAGAGTGTGAGGGTTAATGCGGATCATTCCACGACTTTCAGAGGAGAGGGAATTTATTATTGTTTTTCTCTATTTTAGAGAGGGGGAGAGAGAGAGACATCGATGAGACAGAACATCGACTGGCCGCCTCCTGCACGCCCCCCACTGGGGATCGGGCCCGCAACCTGCGCAGGTGCCTGACCGGGAGTTGAACTGGCGACCTGTGGTGCCTGGGTGAGGCTCAACCACTGAGCCACACCAGCCGGGCAGGGAGAGGGAATTTAAGTGTCATTAGTGAAGAGAAGTTCCTTTAAAACAACCAAACAGAAGTTCTAGAAGTCATTGGACAGATAAAACAGCAGATTAGATATAGGTAAAGAATCAGTAGACAGGAACGTAGGTCTGAGACAGTTTGCCCAGAGCACAGCGCAGGGAGAAGAGCAGATGGAGAATGTGGAAGCAGGTGAGTGATGGGAGAGTGAGGTCAGCCCATCGCTGACGAGGACTCTGGGGGAAGAGTATTCAGAAAGGGGGGAGGGCCCTGGCCAGTTTGGCTCAGCGCTTAGAGCGTCAGCTCGCGGTCCAGAGAGACCCAGGTTCGGTTCCCGCCAAGGGCATGTGTCTCGGTTGCGGTTTGTCCCCACCCCGGTTGGGGTTGTGTAGATGGCAGTCAGTTGATGTGTCTCTCTCACATCGATGTCTCTCTCTCTCTCCCCCTCTCATTCTATGCAAAAAATGTCGTTGGGTGAGGATAAAAAATAAATAAAAGAGGGAAGAGAGGAAATAATCCAGAGATAATGGCTGAGAATCTTCTAGAATCAATGAATGACAGGAGTCCTCACATACAGGATTAACATAAAGTCTCAAACAGGGTTAGTACAACTAAATCCAGGTGAGAGGAAGATAGCATTGTATCAAGGAAAAGGAGATGATGTGAAAAGCAGCCAGAGAAAGTCCAGACTTCTCCACAGTGGTAACAGGCGCCCGGAGAGCAGGCCCGAGCTCTGCAGTCGGCCAGCTCGGTCCCGCAGTTTGCCCGAGGACGCCCCCGACGCCGCCAGGAAAGGGGAGTGCCTTTGACGCAGCCTTTCAGGCGAGGGAGGAGTGCAGGCAGAGAACTGGGCTGAGCTGAGTGAGCATTGGCTCTAAAAACAAAGATGGTGGTAAGAACTAATTTTTTTCTATTAAAAAAGTGGAGCTCAAGTACTAGATGCGTGACAGGACAGAGGCGGTCAGAGTCCAAACACTGTCAGCCACGTTCTACAGTGGCATAGTAGGGTAACAACTGAAACATCAGAGACAGTTTATAACTTCAGTGGCAGGTGGGTAAGTAGGTGTTAGAGAAATTAGCCACCAGCAAGAAAAGGAGAAAAGAAAACGTGGGAATCGGAAAACAGGAGGCACAATAAGATTTTGGAAATAAATGCAGGTATATGAACAGTAAATGGTCAGATTGTTAGGGTGTGATCAGAAGGTGTATTTCAGCACTCTGCTTTTTATAAGAGCTGTCTGAAACAGCGATGGTCAGGTGTTTTTCTTGACTTAAAGGAAGAAACGTATTTTACCTGACACTCTAATGCACATGTACATGTTTGTATATCTTAAAATTTGTTCTGTGTAATGGGTCTGCATCTATAGATCATAAACCATGCTAGTCTTACTATTTACACTGGAGTCTGAGGATTTCTCTTCAGTGCCATTCTGTTTGGCTCTACTTCTTTTAAGTAGGTAGCTATGCCCTGGCCTGCTTGGCTCAGTGGTTAGAGCATCAGCCTGTGGTCCAGAGAGACCCAGGTTCGGTTCCCGCTAAGGGCATGTACTTGGTTGCAGTTTGTCCCCTGCCCTGGTTGGTTGTGCAGGTGGCAGCCACTCAATGTGTCCCTTTCATGTCGATGTTTCTCTTTCTCTCTCTCTCCCTCCCACTCTATCTGAACAAAAAATGGAAAGGTGTCCTCGGGTGAGGATAAAAAATAATAATAATAAATAGGTAGCTAAAGTAATTGACTACCCGGGCACTCGCCAGGCGCTCGGGGTGGATTGGTCTGCTCTATGAATAGCCTGTGAAGAAAGCTCCATGTCGGAAAAGCACCCTAGGGATACAGAGGGCATCCGCATAACAAGAAAGGCTCCTCTCACCACAGACTTAATAAGTGTGGAAGCAGGTATAACTCTTAAACGTATAAATTCCTAAAGACTCTCCTCCAAATGTATGAAGCAACGGCATTCATACAAGAATAAAGCTTACCTCCTAATAAAACAGAAGGAACACAGTAGTGAGCAGTAAATTATGTATTTAACTCTTTACTGTAGAAATACAGAATTTTGTACATAACAGTATATTAATCAGTTTAAAAACACATTCCCAAGTAATTCATGGTTCAGACCACCCTCCCCCCCCCGGCTTGCTGAGGGTCCCCCAGTGGGCTCTTCTCAGTGTGCCTGTCCACCAGTGTGCAGTGGCGGGCACAGTCCCTTCCTCCTGTCTGGGTGCGTCTCACTCAGCCTCCCGGGCACCAGGCTGTCCTCTGGGAAAGGTGGTCCTGCTGTGTTGACCATTCACCTCTCTTCTGCTCAGCCTTTGTACTCCGGGCTGCTCCAGAGACCTCTTTTCTTCTCTTCCTTTCTCCCTAGACCCACCTATGGTGTTAACTTCACAGTCTAATTGGATAGACGCAGGAAACCATGGACAAGCTAGGGCAGCAACCCAGGCAAAGCTGGGAGAGGAGGGTGGACTAGGGGTGGTAACAGGAGGGGTGAGAAGTAACTGCACAGGGATAGACGCTTCAGGTAGAGCTCACGGGACTTGCTGGTGGATTGGAGAACTGGCAGTGCCTTACATCATATTGTGACTGTAGATGGCAAATTGAGAAACATGCTGATTTCTAATTGTTCTGTTTTGTGAATTACTTTTTAGATATGAATTGAGAATTCGTTATTTGCCCAAAGGATTTCTAAGCCAGTTTACTGAAGACAAGCCAACTTTGAACTTCTTCTATCAACAGGTATAGGAGGCTGATTTATGTACTTTTTCCTTTGTTTATTTGAATTTTATTTATTACATAGCTTTCTTTTGTAATCAGATTAAACATCACATTTGGGAATATACATTTGTCACTGTGTGGCAATGAGAATCTTTTCGCTGGTGAGAACTTAGGAACTTGGGACATTTTGTGAATTTTTATATGCTTGGGCAACTCTTAAAAGTCCCAAGTGACACAAGCATTGGTCATTCTGACATGCCTGGACATCAGCACACTTGTCGGATGTAGAAGTGAGAGAGCTAACTAATGGCACCATGAGACCTCGGGCAGTTTGCACAAAGCCGGAATTGACTTTCTGCACTAAGAGCAGCTTGCTTTTGCCCTCACGGTGTTAGGCAGGCAGCGGGTGTACACGGGTAGGCGGTGGGTGTACATGGCGTGAATGAGCCAGTGCAGTGTGTGACCGAAGAAGTGCTCCTCGTTAGTGTTAGCGAACAGTGCCCCTCCAGACTGCCTGATGAGCACCAGAGACGTTTGCATGCACTTGGGGATTTTCGGCTGAATGAAAGTATGTGTCTGTCTCCGGCGGGTCATGAAAGCAGAACTGAAAGGGCCTGCCCCTCCAGCTCCTCAGTTCGGGGGCGTCTGTGGGCGGCTTTGTGTTCAGTCCGCTGCTGTGCTGGAGACGCCACTGGGCCCAGGAGGCCCGCCACCCGGGAGTGTGGGACCGAGGGTCTCCCCGGGCGCTGGCCTCTGAGGAGTCTCCAGCTTGATGAGGACGCGGAGGACATGAGGAACTCCGTGCCTTGGAGTCTGAGCCAGTGTGGTTTGAAAGGAAGCGGGTCAGAGAGACGGCCACATCATGTGAAGGGGCGTGAGGTCTTCTGCAGGTCACTGGGTGCCAGGAAAAGAAGTTCCTTAGTGAATGCCTTCTTCAGCTAGGCCCCCACCGGGTGGCAGGCTGGCGGTGGAGCGAGGCCTGAAGGGCTGCCAGCAGGTAGGCACTTCGCCATGCGGGCAGCAGACGAGGAAGGTCTGCGGCGAAGCGGGCAGCCCGCAGACCGAGTGCGGGGTGTTTCAGGACGAAGTGAATGCAGATGGAGCGTGAACCTGGGGGAGGAAGAGGCCGGGGTGTCGCCAGGCACCTGGTTATTCCCACCTAGATGCCCACCGTGAGAGCAGGGGCGGAGGAAGGGTCCAGCCTGTCTGTGAGGGGGAGTCACACGGCGAGGAAGGGTGGAGGGGTGTGTGGGGGCTCGGGCTGCAGCCCGCTCCCTGCAGAGTCCACCCCAGTTTGTCTGCTGCTTCTCACCATGGGCGCCTCTTGTCCTGAGCGCACGGGGAGCCTCGTCCAAAGCTCGGCGAGGGAGACGACCAAGAGCAGTCAGCTAGTGTGTGCTGGGCCTTCTCTCTGGTAGTGCTTTGTTTCACTATGGCGTACTTTTGAAAAATCTGCCCGTGGAGGAGATCTAGGACTGCTGCAGTGACACTGATTTCCAGAATGCATAGTACAGGCCTAAGTAGCTCACATTGACCCCTTTTAGAATGTCTGGGCTCACGTAGAAGTCAGCAACTTTTGTGTTCCTTCCACGTTGTCACTAGTTTGTCCTGGTTTCCCCTTTCCAAGACCTTGCTCTGTCCCTACAACTGGAAGTCAGCGCTGATGCAGGTGCCTCCCAGGGCTCCCCCAAGCAGGGCTGTGTCTCTGCCGTCTGGCAGCTCGGGGAGTGTCGTTGTAACCCTCAGAGAACTCGGTGTGGGCTGAGGGGCGTGCCCAAGGGGCCTGTTCTGCACCCGGTGACGTGTGACTCAGCCCCTCGCGCCTCGTCTCACCCACGGAAACCGAGATAGGATGCCATCCTGGGCTGCTGACTCGATCCCGTGAGATGGCGTCGCCATGCAGCTGCCCAGGTACGTGCCCTGGCACCAGTGGGAGCTGCGCACGCTGGGAGGGCAGTGTCCCCTCCCCGTGCCCTCTCGGGGCTCCAGTCCCTCCGACCCACCCACTGTCCTCCACGTCCACAGCTTCTCGGCACTCTTTCCTGGGTGACTTTCTACACTTAGAGCACATGGCAGTCTTAGGACGTTTGGAAAAGATTCTAAAGCGTCACTTCCGTTTGTGTACGCTTTTGTAATGTTCTGCCAAGTACACTTTGTGAAAGCAACGCACATGCAGTCGTAGCAGTGCCCTGCCAGGCTGGTGGCCAGTCCGGGCTCAGGGCAGCAATGCAGGGGAGGGGAAGCTGAACCAAGGAGGTGAGGGGGAGGACAGGTGCTGTCTGTCACGAGCATCAGTGGGCGGAAAACCCTGAGCCCTGATGGTCTGTGTGTGACATCTTGAACAGCAACAGTTGTGTAGGTAAAAAGTAGTTGAAAATTGGCTATTTCAGTTGGTTTGAATTAATAATTCTACTTCGAAGGCTCTGTCCAAAGACATGAGATTTCCGTGTGTGTTCCAGGGTGCTCGTAGGGACAGTCCAGTGGCAGGCCGGAACCGGAAGCCGTGCGGGTGTCTCACAGAAGCGCTCGCTGAGGCTGCCCCGCTCAGCTTCAGGCCTCGCTCGGCGCACGGCCGACTGGAGGAGCGCGCTCTGCCCTGGCACGGAGGGCGCTCCACCAAGTGCTGCGGCTCCCGGCAGGCCAGGGCACAGTGTATCCGCCGCTCCGCCTGTGTGGGGAAATGCACCCCTTTTCTTTTTACCCAGGTCTCACTGGAAAGTTTTGAAAGCAGTATGATCTTTGCATCGCTGCATTGGTAAATAATTATATCTTTATATGACTTCTTGTGATAAATTCTTGGTGTAGAATCTGTCCTGGTATGTGTGCAGGAACTTCAGGACTCTGACAGGTGACCTGTGCGTTACCCACTCAGGCGGTTCCCAACCTGGGAGCAGGTTTCATTTTTCCAGCCTGAAAAATCAGTCATGAATTCAGGAAGCTCGTTCCCGCTCCCCCAAAAACATGTCAATGAAAAAATTGGCCCTTTACCTATTTATTTAACTGAGAATGCAGCTGAAATATTTTGGAGGGACTTGAGTATAGAAATTTTCACTAAATTCGAATATATTTTATAGGTGCCTCTGAATTGTATGACACCCATTCTCTAATTTTAAGTCTTTAATATTTGAAGTATATAAGATGTATACATATATACATTCATATGTTTTTACTGAATTTCAAGCTAAATTGATCCATTTTAAAGAGGCTCAGAATTTGATGACAACGGTTCTATTTAATTGTGTAGATCCTGTAACATCTTTTATAAGGAGTGATACTTAATAAGATGAGCACCGAGACTCCGCTGCCCAGACGCAGAGAACATACCCCTGCCCCTCAGAACTGTGATGGTGTTTTTGGTCTGAGTTTTATTATTGCTGCTGAGAAGTTGCCTCTTGTCCTGTCTGTCTCAGTAGATTATCTGTCCTATCTCTCTGTGGCTTGGAGACCTTCCCTTTGTCCACAGTGTTTTGCGGTGTTATTACTAACGAGGTGTGGATTCCACCTGTTCTTTATCTGTGTTATGCAGTATGTGCCTACAGGTTTATGTCTTCTTCCTCAACTCTAGAGATGCCTTATATGTCTCTTCAGATACTGCCTGTTCTTCATTTTTTGTTCTTCCTACATTAGAGTTTCTCAGACTGTCTATTAACTTCTCTTTGCTGCTTCCCACTCCTGTCTGTCTGGAATCTGGGACCCACATAGCTCTGTTAGGTCCTCAGCTCTCAGATGCGGCCAGGTCTATTTGTTGTATATTTGTTCAGTTTTTATTGATTGTTTTTTAGTTATCTCACACACACACACACACACACACACACTTTTTTAAATCTGCGAGGTCATCTTTTATTTTATTTTATTTTATTTTTATTTTATTTCATTTTTTTTATCCTCACCCGAGGAAATTTTTCCATTTTTTGTTCAGCTAGAGTGGGAGGGAGAGAGAGGAAGAGAGAGAGAGAGAAACATCGACGTGAAAGGGACACATTGAGTGGCTGCCACCTACACAACACATCCAGGGCCGGGGACAAACTGCAACCGAGGTACGTGCCCTTAGCAGGAACCGAACCCGGGTCTCTCTGGACCGCAGGCCGATGCTCTAATCGCTGAGCCCAACTGGCCAGGGCCGAGGTCATCTTTTATAGGGCCCTTATTACTTGCTAACTTCCTGCCTTTTATTTCTCATCATGTCATTAAGAGTCAGTGTCTCTCTTCTGAGTCTGAATTACAACATGTTTCACCCCTGGGCTTTCTGTCTGCTGGGTTGACCGCACTAATTCTTGTTCAGGGACATGTGGCCTGTGTCTGTGGGGGTCGGCTGTTTTGCTGGACTTCACATCTGGGATCTTGAGGGTCTAGACCGGGGAACAGCGAATGTTCCTGAGTGTTCGCTCTGCGCTTCAGAAGGAACCGTGTCTTTATTGTTTTGTCTCTTTCATTAGACAGGAGTGAAGGGATTATGTTTAGATTCTCTCTGCCGACATTCCCAGAGAAGGGAGAGAGAGAGCTTATAATAACCTACCTTGCCGGTGTTATTTTGAAATTTCACCCAGTTTCAGCCCCCTGTTCATTATGTCCTGTGCTCTGGGATGGTGTCTCAAGGAACACAAGGTGTCAGTGGAGATAGTGGGTGTTGTGAGTGATGATGGGGTATTGTTCTGTGGAAGCAGTTTCATTTAAAGATGTCCCCAGTGGGACTCCCAATGTGAGGGATCATCAGTGATGCCCTCAGTGCTTTTGACCCGTTTTAGAACTTCTGAAAGATGTAAATCAGCACACTCTAAAAATAAACTGGATCTTGTTGTAACCTGTTCACTGTAGAGCAGGAGTCTATAAAAATAAGTTCGACACTAAAGCTAATGGCTTATTTTAAAGCAAGAAAACTATGTTTTACCCTGAAATCAAATTTTCCTTTGCCATATAGCATTTGATTCCTCTTTCTCTCTCCGAATTCACATTTGTTAAAAGTGTATTTGGTTGGTGGTAACCTTTTGCAAATAGTGGTGGCCATGGGTTTGAAGGTCTGTGTCCATCTGTGTTCAGTCTAGAAGTTGGCATGTTGACTGACCCGTACAGAACCGTTTGGCACTGAGCTGAACACATGATGGAGTGGTTCAGGACTAATGCCTTCTGTTAGCGATGGGAGCGGCTTTGCTCTAAGCCCTGTGCTTGATTCCGTCACCGAGTAGGAGTGGGGGCCCTCAGATGCAGTGCCTGCCACAGCAGGAGCCCGAGCCCAGCCCGTTTCGTGGGAGAGGGGCACCAGTAGGCAGGCTGGCAGAGGAGAGAATAAACAATAGTAAACAGTGTCGAAGGAAGCAGTGACGGTGGGAACAGGAACCAGGAGAGGCCTGCGAGGCCCGTGTAGTCCTGGGACCCCAGGGTGGTGAGCAGAGTCCCCCTCGGCCTCCGGCCTCCTCGCAGAGAATATGCCCTCTCCTGCGGCGTCCACAGAGGGGGTCCGCATGAAGCCTGAGGCGCAGTGGTGGACACTTGCCATGCGACCTTGGGTCAGTGACCTGTTCCGATCCTCTGTATAAAGCAGAACTACTGAGGACTGACTGGAGAGCTGCAGGGATTATGGACAGTGCACGGAGACCAGCGCAGTGCCGGGCCCTCGCCCTGGCAGGCACTCCCCGGGCAGCAGGCGGTCTCTGCCGTCTTCCTCCCAGGCCTCTTCCGATGACCGAGGGCAGAAGTGCCGCTCACTGCGAAGTGATGGAGATTGAATGAGTGAGTGCCGCGCGTAGATCTATCTGCCTGGATGGTGCTGTTTAAGCAGTTGTGAGTACATACTCACCCTTGAATGCTCAGTGGATTGCATTGATTTCACAGCTGAAAGCAACACCTTCTGCTGGAGTTAGTAGATGGAAGGTAGTCAAGAAATGTTTTATAAAAGAAACAGGCACTGAGCATGAAGGACCCGAGTCCTGTGCTGACAGCAGACACGCAGATGCACAGGGAACACGGCTCCAGGGCCCGGTGGACAGGGAGAGGCTCTGGGCCTCGGAACTGGCTGGGAAGCCGCCCAGGGCTGGTGGTGAGGCCATGCGACGAGGGCCTGTTGTGACAGCCTGTCCCTCCTGGGTCGGTACACTTCCCAGAACATGTCGGTCACCTCAGACCACAAATGGACTTCAGGCCATGGTCCGACAGCTCAAAAGTAGTAGGTTATTGCTGTAGGGAAAACAATTCACAGAACTTTTAAGTCAAGTTTGTGAAAAGGGGATTTCCCGTTAGGATTGTTACATTCTGATTTCCCCTTTTATATCTTTGCAACTAATATTAATTTGGTTTTGATAAATGAAATAAAGCAAGTGACTACATTTCCCACTTGTACATAGTGTTTAAAAATTACATAATTAAGCCCTGGCCGGTTTGGCTCAGCGGTTGGAGCGTCGGCCTGCGGTACAGAGAAACCCGGGTTCGGTTCCCGCTAAGGGCATGTACCTCAGTTGCAGTTTGTCCCCGGCCCTGGTTGGTCGTGCGGGTGGCAGCCACTCGATGTGTCCCTTCACATCGATGTTTCTCTCTCTCTCTCTTCCTCTCTCTCCCTCCCGCTCTATCTGAACAAAAAATGGAAAAAATGTCCTCGGGTGAGGTTAAAAAAAAATTACATACTTAATCTTTAAAACAGTCTGTGGTGATGCATCTTCCTCAGCTCTAAGGTTATTCTGCTGTGGTTTGTCTAAGTCTGCCCCCGCAGGGGCTCCGTCAGGACGACGGGAGTGTCTCCCTGATGGACATACACGCGTGTCTCGGTCCTTCCTTGTGCCTTGTTTCTGCTCGATGACAAAACTACCAGTGATGCAAGGACTTGGTTCTTACCTTTGGGCTTACGATTTGCTGTACAGGAGAAAGAGCCAAATGAAGTATAAACACAATGATTTTAGAATGGAAGCTTTTCACTTTATTTGGTGGGTTGAGTCATCTGGCTCCTCTGAGTCAGCCTGAGATGCCTGCCTACTGTGTGCAAGTAGTAGGGATGGCTCGCGCCGGCACTGAGACCCAGCTTGATCACTGTTCATTCCTTCATCTGCTCACTCGCTCAGTCAGCAAATATTGACTGAGCACTGCGGTCGAGGTGCTAATGCGGAAACTAAAGCGGGTTTTGGGAGGGAGGGGCGTTTGGTCAGAGACAGCAGATGGCTGTCCACTGCTGGACGAGTTGCCACGCCCCGCTGCCAGAAGGGCTGGCAGGGCGAGGACACGCGCCTGTCGTGGCGCAAGTTCCTGGTCTGCTGAGGAGGCCTCCCCGTCTGGAGAGCTGTCTTTCCTGGAGGAAGTCGGGCCCAGCGGGCGAGCTTCCGGACAAGCATCCCTCAGCTTCCAGACAGTTCCAGCTGGCCGTTGGAGGGTATCGTTATGCATTTAAAGCGAATCCCAGACTGCAGTTTCTCCAGGTGCTCGGCAGTAAGCGTGGAAAGCAGGGGTGTGCCTTGTTTCCTGTGTGTGGTTTTGCCAGGCAGTAAAGTCCCGGAATGGTATGGGGCAAGGGAGCTGGGGTCGCTGCGTGGAAGATGGATGGCAGTGGTGAGCTGCACAGTAGGAGGTGGGCAGAGTGACCCACGGGGGAGCAGAGACCTTCCGAGCAAGCAAACTGACAAGCCTAGAAGGGAGCTGGGGTCTTCTATGGTGGAGTCAACACACTTTTTTCTGTAAAGGGCCAGAGAGTAAATACTGTGGGGTTGAGGACCAAGAGGCAAAATTAGGGTGTTATGAAATATTACATAACACCAAGATGATGTCCACAGTTCTGCTTGGTCAAATTCATAACCCGATAGCTGAGTGCAGTGTTTCGTAGGACAGGCATGCTAAAAATGGAGCTCTGTTGGGGGGGGGGGGGCGGGCATTTCCCGTAGCTGAGGTTCAGATGGGGGCTCTCCAGCATCAGCCTCCATGGCGGGTGTTGAGCCCTCAGTGTCACCATAAGGAGGCTCACCTCCTGCCCTGTGAAGACGTCCTCACGCTGAGAGTGGCTCTAAGTGCCACACGGTCCATTGGTTGTGTGAGTTGAGTATAAGCATTGTTGGAAGGCATCTGTGAAGTTCTGTTAGGTTCTTCTCTTTATATTAGACTTGAAGCATGTTCATTACTTTACAGATTAATCACAGTTGGTGGGTAGGTAGAAGCAAAGTCAGTTGCTGAGGTAAGTAGATTTGGAGATGTGTCCGTTTTCCTGATCTTGCACTAAGGTTCAAAAGTGCTGTTGGAACTGAAGTTCGAGTTAAGAACATGTCCACTGCGAACTTGCTTGGGAATGGCTTTCACTTCTGACAGCACGGGAAGGGGGAGGAGCAGCCTGGCGTTACTGGGATCCCGGGGAAGTTCATTGTTTCTCTGAGTCCCATGTGCTGCTCATAGATTACATAAGCTCCTCTGAGGAGGGGCCCTGGCTCCCTTTCCCTGTTTTGTGATGTTGCTCATCTTCATACCAGCCAGCGAGCATAGTTATACTGACACAGGATGTATAACGTACGAGAAGTCAGCATTTACTGCATGAGTAAGTCTGAAGTGTGCTCCTTTGAAACAGCACTGTTTCCCATTCCTTTTCATCACAGGTGAAGAGCGATTACATGCTAGCGATAGCCGACCAAGTAGACCAGGACATTGCTTTGAAGTTGGGGTGTCTAGAAATACGGTAAGGTGATCACTGTACATTGAGGTCTTGAATCATCAATGGTTTTTATTTTTGGAAATTATCCAGGTATTTTCCTTTTCTCATAAAGATTATCAATAGAATATTGAATAAAATGGGAGTGAAAATTTGGTAAGATTCTGAATTAAGTTGATCATTCTATGCCGTGTCTGATGCTGTCACCCAATGACATAAGCCTCCGCAGGAGTGGGTGTGGCTCACACCCGGCCACAGCCGCCGTCTGGTGTCCCTGTGGCTGTTCGGCTCTGTGTGCTGTCCCTTGAGAAAAGGTAGAAGTTCAGAAGTAGGGGATGTAGCTCACCCCTTGACACTGGAACCTGTCCTGTCTGCAGAGAGCCAGACACACTTCCCCTAACGGGGAGGGAGGCTGGCCAGTAGGAGGGCTCTGGGTGGCCCTGCCAGCTGGTTCGGCTGCGTGTCGTCCTGTGCCGACAGGTCGCAGGCTCCCAGTCAGAGTCGTGCGGGAAGCAGCTGATCTGTGTTTCTCTCCCTCTCCCTTCCTCTCTCTCTAAAAAATTAATAAAAACATATTTAAAAAATGATAATTTTAAAAAGGAAGTTGGTCCGGGTTAACAGATTGTGCCTCATTAGGATATGAGAACATGCTGTGGATCAAATTTGTCTGTATTCGAGTTGATTGGCATGTTCATGGCTGAGCCACAGGGTGGTGAAGTCCCCCACAGTTTTTATCATTGGATAAATAGACATTCTTTAAACATATATAAAACTTTGTATCTTTCCTGATTTTAGGCGATCATACTGGGAGATGCGGGGCAACGCACTAGAGAAGAAGTCTAACTATGAAGTGCTAGAGTAAGTATTACACACCGGAACGAGCCCTTCAGAAGCAAATGGTCAGAACTAACTCATTCTTCAAACTGCAGTTTCTATTAATTTATCTTTACTTGAAAGTAAATATAAAATAACATACTAAGAACTAATGTAGAAGTTTCTAGAGGGCGTCAGGGTAGGGGTGGTACTTAATGTCTGAGATGGTTGTCCACTCAGAGTTTCGCAGGAGGAGTGTGGGCAGGCGAGGGGTAGCTGGCCGGGCAGCAGGCTGATCCAGGAGGGAGCCGGCTCTGGGCGGGGACAGAAGCGCGGATGGTTGGATTCTGGCTGGAAAGCCGTCACTGTTCTGGGTAGAACACCTTGCTCTGAGGAGACAGTTCGGTTACTCTTAGTATTTTTATTCTAAAAATCGGGCCACACTTTACAGTGGGAAAAGCACTATCTAGAAATTTTCATTTATATAAAAATGTTCAACCTTGGTAGAACCAAGGTACCTTTTCTGTAGGCAAGCGGGGGAGGTGCACGGCGTGAGCCCTCCATCCGATCCCTGGATCCCGAAGGCTCACGCTGCCAGGAACAAACGGTGCAGACAGACAAGACTTTCATTTACATCTTTTGTAAATTAGAGGCAGTGGGTAGAAAAGAAGGCAGCTGCCACAGGTCTGATCAGATGTTTTAAGAAAATGTTTTGTTATCCAGCTTCAAACCTGCATTGCTGCCCATGACACATTAGACCCAAGTAAGCTAATGATAGTCTTAAAGTCATGGTTCCGAAACAGGTTTGGCATGAGTTGACAGTAACTTAGCTAACATTTCTCTTTCATACAGAAAAGTCCTAGGCGGTCAGTGTTCCTCATCACCAGGCCCCTTTTATCTGTCCTTCCTTATCCACATCACACCACCTCGTGGCCTGGGGTGGCTGCTGGACCTCACCCATCACATTTGCATTCTAACCCGAAGGAGAGAAGAGATGGACATTCGCTCTCCCGCCCTCCTTTCCTCCCCACTCAAGGACACGTGTGTACATAGTACTTTTCCTTAGAGGGACATTGGCCAAAACACAGTCACGGGCCACCTGCCTCCCCGAGGAGTGAGGTGCTGTCCCTGTCTGAAAGACAGCTGTCCCCGGGGGAGGAGACGCTGCCATGGAGACGCATTAGTCTTTGTTGCCCTTAGAGGATTTCACGTTCATCTGTAAGAGAGGTTAAGTATCTCTGTGTACTTTTAAATGAAAGGCCCTTCACTCTGAGGTGTGGGGTGAGGATGAGCCTGGCCACTGCAGGAATGGGCTCAGACTGGGCACTCGGTCAGGCTTGCCTGGGCTCCAGAGCCGCGAGGAGTGACCAAAGCCGCAGACGGCCAGTCTTCTCGGAACCAATCCCAAGAGGAAATCGTGTATCCTTGACGTAGAACTCCCCCATGGTGGAGGGAGGCCCATCTTCACGCCGGACCACCCGAATGGCCAGTGTGGTGTGAAAGGGGAACATGAGGAAGCCACGGGTGGAGGTGGGGAGGCAGAGCTCTGAGGATGAACCGAGGAGAACCAGAGCCTCCTGAGCTGGCCCTGGTCTGAGACCCCACCTACAGGCAGGCGGGGCGGATGCCACGTGCGCTGGGCCGTCTGGTACGCGGTGGGGCGTGAGTGCGGGGAGTCTCCGGGACCCTCCTCTCCGCAGCAGACACGCTGGCACCTCGCTGGCACCTCGCCGGGAAGATGGAGCGCTGCGGGGTTGCCATTGCCCACCGGTGCCCCACGGCATCAGGGACCAAGCCCGGCTCGCTGTCTTTAGAGCTGCACCTCAGAGTAATAAGTGTCTTCGGGCCGAGATGACAGGACCCTGTTCTGCTTGTCCTGAGGAGAGGGGAGGGGAGAAGTCAGACACTCCCGCTGCCCATGCCAGCTGGACCCCGCGGCTGTGCCCAGCGTCCACCCATGTCACCCTCCCTGCCTGGCCTAGTTGCCAGTGGGCGCACAGCACCGAGCCGGACAGTGCAGAAGCTATCAGCCTCCTGGGCCCCCGAGTGCGGGGCCTGGGGCTAGATGTTTACATTCAGTGTTACCTGCTCTCAGGATGAGGGCTGCGTGTGCTCCTGCAGTGGCCGTGCAGCTCTCCGCGTCATGTCTTGTCGGCTGGGCGAGGTGGCAACACCCCAGGGAGGGGCTTTGGGGCTGGGGTCCAGCAGTATGTACTCTGAAAGTTCCCTGTGAGCTCGTTTGTTCATGTGTTTATTTTTATAACTAACTGCATAGTAAAGGGTCACCTTGCAGGAAGGCCAGTGGCCGCACTTTGTTTACAAGTGCTGTTCATTGTGTCAGTCACTTGCACAGGTGTGGCGTCTGAGCTCAAGTGAGGTTCCCGCCACCTACAGCTCAGCCCGGTGGCTGCCGAGCCAAGTGATTGGTAAAGCGGTGCTGTGCCACTACCAGCTCGGAGAGCGCCCGTGGGCAAGTGGGCAGCCTGCGGTCCCCGCCTGCTCCCTCCCAGAGCTTAGATTCCCGTGTCTCCCGTGGCTCCCTGCACTGAGCGGAGCGCCTGGGGCCTCCACCACGGAGCCTGCAGGAAGCCGGCGTCTCGACTCAGTCAACAGACATGTGCTAAGGGTGGTGCTGAAGTTTTCTGGTGGTTTTGTGTCCTTGAGCCTCGTTTTTACTTTCTTACTTTCCAGGCGTCCCATTTCAAGGCGTTCTAACATGCGGACAAACGTTACAAAGTCCTTCCTAGCACAACAGTTGGGAAAAGAAACTGCATGTTTGCTCAGCGTTCGTTGGCCTCAGCGGTCCTTTCAAGTGGAGTTGTCTTCCCAGGAATAGGCTTTATTTCTACAAAGAAATATGTTCTCTCATTTTTCTTGAAACATACAACCATATTGGTCCACCTTGCACTTTCCCACGTGTGGCGGTGATGACACCGCAGATTGTTCCCACCCGACTAAGAGGTAGAGACGTGGCAGGTCTGACTAGGCGCCCCCAGCCACGGTCGGAATAGGCTCCCTGCCTGTCTTCCCCCATCCAGCCGTCTCCCTGAAATCCCACTGGAGGGCGCACCCCACGTCTGAAGCAGACCCCCACAGCCTCCCTCCCCCCCCCAGTCATGGTGTCAGTGTCCCCAGAGTCGGCTCTCCCTCTGCCACACACCCAGTCATTCAGCTCTGCGGACTCTACGGCCAGAGCAGCTCCTGCATCTCCCCCTGCACAGCTTCTTCCCAGGCCATCAGCCTCCTGCCCTCCCCCTCACGGTGCATTCTTCATAGCAGGGTCAGGTGACACTTCCCTCTGCTCAGAGCGGCCGCTGGGCAGGCCTGTGGGTCAAACTCTCAGACAGGAGGGGCCTGCAGTACTCCGGGGATAGGCGCCTACCCTCGGAGTTGGTTCCAGGACTTAACTCGTTACTGCGCCCTCAGCCCTGCAGTGTGCAGTAGGGGGAGCATCCCCTCTACAAGAGAGAGCCCAGGTCCCAGGGGCAAGGCCACAGCCAGGTCTGCCCACGGCACAGCCACGGTCCTTGCCCAGCTGTCTGTGGGAGAAGAAGCGTTTCCGAGGTGGCCTGGCTGCCTGGAAGGGGAGCCGGGAAGGGGTGCTCAGGAACGTGTCAGGATTCTAGGTGTTTGCTTTTCCTTTGTGCTCATTCTTACTTCCCATAGTGATCAGCACCAGCTACTCACAAACAGTTAGAATGCAGAGCCCTGTCTTCTCAGGAGGCATCGGAGTGGAGGAGTCTGGTGGACACTCCCTCCTCGTGTCCTGGAGTCAGAGTAGATGCTGCAGGTCTGAAAAGATGAGAACTTAGAGAAATAGATGGAAACCAGGGCTTTCGTGAATTAACTGATAGGTAAAACCACAAAGCAGTATGTCATAGAGCCAAGGTGGCATTTTATAAAGATGCAGTGAACCAGATAAGAAAAACATACAAAAGTGAGAGCCGGGAGCGGTTTTGGATTTAGCAAGGCGTTTGTTGGCTCAGGTCCTAACCAGTCAGAGTGTAGAGTAGGATTAAACTGGTGTAGGATCAACCACACGCACTGATGTGTCTCCCGTCGTTTCTCTAGAATGCGGCTGACTTAGAGCATAGATGACTAAGTTATCTCATAGTTTTCTTTTATATTTTATATTCAGTTTATTGTTTCCTTATGTAATTCTGAACAGACACCTGTATTTTACTTTTCTCCTGATCTTTCCTTGCTTGCTGTGTCCAGGCTTTTCCATCTTACCCGCACATGACTGCCATCTAGTGGTCAAAACACCTGGGCATTTAGTACCCAAAGTAGAAGGAGCTCTTCTTATCCATTTATTTTCTTGGCCACAGTGCTTTGAGACTCTTGAAAATCATGATTGATCCTGTAGCCTGATATAAAGGAAGTCACGGGGTTTCCAGCATTTTCATGCATTCACCTTTTGACCTTAGGCAAATCCCTTAATTTCTTTTGTTTCCTATGTGAGTCTGAGAGGATGAACCTTGATTAGGTGAATGTGTCACTTATTCAGAAAGCTTATTTTAAAAGATTCAGCCTTTAGGATTAATTCAGGTTTTTTTTTTTAAACTTCCGTAGTATGTCCCCAATTTTTTTCCTAATTAGGCCTGTCTGCAAATACAGCATTGCTCCTTTCAAATGGTGTTTATAAGACTAACCTTCAGGCAATATTCAGAGAACAGTGTCTGTGCATTGAAGTCTGCAGTGGGGCAGCATTTAAATGGGTTTCCAGTAAGCATCAAAGGAACAGAAGATTTCCTACTCGCACCACATCACATTGGTGCTTTTCTGCATGATCTAGAGGATGACTAGGCCCACCCCTTCCGTGATATGGCAGATAATCCGACCTTCATTGTCCTTTCTTCCTGAGTAGATGTGCAGGGATAAGTAGTTCACACTCCTGTGTTCTTGCAATAGTGTCATTATATTCATTGATTTGGTGGTGTTATTGTTACACTTCTTTTTATATTTCAGAAAAGATGTTGGTTTGAAGCGGTTTTTTCCTAGGAGTTTACTGGATTCTGTCAAGGTAATTAGAGTTCATTTTATCATACTCAGATGACCATGTGATTCAGAACCCTCCCCTGTGGTATATGGTTTTCTCCCTCATATGTAAAGTTATGATGTTACGGGTACAACTTTCTGATCATTACTCTTCGGAAGTGTTAAGAAGCTGTGACAGCTGACAGTGTGAGATCCTGACGGTCAAAGGATAGAGCGGACAGTGCTCTTAGTGGGCAGACGGCGAGCTGTGGGCACGTCCTGCAGTGCAGTGGACAGGGCCTTACCAGTGTCAGGGCATGGTTCAGCACACGGGCCCGGGTCGAGGAAGACGTCCACCTCAGGTGGGCTGGAGAAGGCTTGAGAGCCCTCTCCTGTCCTGGCCCGCTCTGAGAACTCTCTCTCCAGTTCACAAGTCATCACACTGCTCCCTGGAGTGCTGTCAGGAACGCTTAGCTTCATCCTTGGAGAGAACAGTTATTCTCCAGTCTGTGATTGGCAGGTGACCATTGCAGGCTTGACATTTAGCTAAGCACAGAATGCCTGGCTTAGGAGTGATCCAGCACTCCATTCCTGGCATTGCTGTGTGCCAGCCCCTGTGTGGGCAGTGACTCTGTGTCTGCATGGGAAGACCCTGCCTGATACAGGTGCCCCTGGTATCTGGTACAGGCCGAACAGCCGAGGTGTCCAGCGATGCATGGGTGGAGAAGATGCTCAGCCATTTGTGACAGCACGCTGTTCTTGGAGGGCATTGTGCTCAGTGACGAGTTAGAGACATACCAGATGAGTTCACTTATGTGTGGAATCTGAAAACAAAATCTAAAACAAAACGGACCAAACTCATACATACAGAGGACAGATTGGTGGTTGCCAGAGGTGGGGACTGGGGTGGGTGAAATGGGCAAAGGGATTCAAACGATACAAATTTCCAGTTGCAAAGTAAATGCCCCAGGGATGTAATGCACCGCCCGGTGACCAGTCAATGACGCTGCCTGCACGAGGGGCTAACTAGCCATCGGGCGATCATTTCACAGCACACACAAATACTGATCCTCGTGTTGACACCCAAAACTAACGTAGTATTATGTCAGTCACATCTCATGTTTTCAAAAGCACACTTTGCACGAACTATTAACACATTAGTATTTAACAGCCTCTTATTCCTTTGGAAACTTTCTTTAGCATTACAGCATAATCTTTCTATCTGGGAAGCCCTGGTGTCCCTTGTTGCTAGCAGCATCTGATGAATGTTGACTGATATGAAAGTATTTCATAGCTGTAATTTCTCTGGACCACAGGCCAACGCTCTAACCGCTGAGCCAAACCAGCCAGGGCTATAGCTGTAATTTCTGATGCTGTGACCCAGTAACACTGCTTCGTTTTGAAGAAGTGTCCCATGCTAAGCAGTTTGTAGGTGAATTGGTTCAGAATTGAATAGCATGCATGGATACATGTTTTCTACACAGAAAACAAAGGTGCATTGGTTTTTCCCCTTCCTCGTGCACTGTTGCCGTGCTCAGTGTGCTCACGTGTCCGTGCATGAGTCCACCCCTGTGCTCGGTGTGCTCACACATGTCCATGCATGAGTCTACCCCTGTACTCATTGTGCTCACGTATCTGTGCATGAATCCACCCCTGTGCTCAGTGTGCTCATGTGTCCGTGCATGAGTCCACCCCTGTGCTCATTGTGCTCACACGTGTCCGTGTGTGAGTCCACCCCTTGTGCTCTGTGTGTTCACACGTGTTCGTGTGTGAGTCCACCTCATGCTCATTGTGCTCACACGTGTCCGTGTGTGAATCCCATCCTGTGCTCTGTGTGCTCACACGTGTCCGAGTGTGAATCCCATCCTGTGCTCTGTGTGCTCACACGTGTCCGAGTGTGAATCCCATCCTCTGCTCTGTGTGCTCACACGTGTCCGAGTGTGAATGCCATCCTGTGCTCTGTGTGCTCACACGTGTCTGAGTGTGGATCCCATCCTGTGCTCTGTGTGCTCACACGTGTCCGAGTGTGAATCCCATCCTGTGCTCTGTGTGCTCACACGTGTCTGAGTGTGAATCCCACCCTGTGCTCTGTGTGCTCACACGTGTCTGAGTGTGAGTCTCATCCTGTGCTCTCCTTTTTTTTTTTTTTTTATCCTCACCCGAGGACATTTTTCCATTTTTTGTTCAGGTAGGGTGGGAGGGAGAGAGAGAAACATCGACATGAAAGGGACACATCGAGTGGCTGCCACCCGCACAACCGACCAGGGCCGGGGACAAACTGCAACCGAGGTACGCGCCCTTAGCGGGAACCGAACCCGGGTCTCTCAGGACCACAGGCCGACGCTCTAACCACTGAACCAAACCGGCCAGGGCTGTGCTCTCCTTTTCACTCTGGTCCACAGGCTGACGCTGTAACCGCTGAGCCAAACCAGCCAGGGCCTGTGCTCTCCTTTCCAAAGCACCTATGTGTGCACATTGTTTTCTCCTATTTCTTCATGGAACTGTATGATGGGTTTTACTGTCTGTCAGTCAGTTCTACACAGCCGTCCCCGGGGTGCATCGAGCGTAGGGTAGACAGACACACCGTGTGCATGCCTGGCTGGGCCTCACTGCAGACAGCTCTGCAGACCCTCCCTGTTGCTGAACCTGCATAGTTCTGTAATCACTTCTAAGGAATAACGTCCTTGGATTTTCATCGCTGGGTCAAGAGTTGTGGTCTTCTAAGGTTTCTGGTTTGTGTGACCTTCAGAAGGGCAGCGCTGACAGGCCCTCCCAGCAGGGGCCGTGTGAGCGCCTTGAGCCCTCACCTGGGCCAGGGCCCTCCATGGGGGGGACGTGCTCTCATCGCTCCCTCAGGCACGCGCTGCCGCACCAGCACTGCTGCACAGGTTCGTACGGGACGGAGAGCTGAGTGCCCGGACGGACATGGAGAGATGGTGGCCATGCCTCGTTTACGTTAGGTGCATGTTATTATGGTAGTTACTTAAACAGAAGTGAAGCTCCCACAAGGTGACATTTTATAACAATGGAACATAGGCGGATTAGGTGGGCGGGGAGCCTCCTCTTGAGGTTAGCTGCTGAGCTCCTCACTCAGTCTCCATTCTGATCACCTTTGTGGTTTTTCTCGTGCAGGCCAAAACACTAAGAAAACTGATCCAACAGACCTTTAGACAGTTTGCCAACCTCAACAGAGAAGAGAGCATTCTGAAGTTCTTCGAGATCCTCTCCCCGGTGTACAGATTTGACAAGGAATGCTTCAAGTGTGCTCTCGGCGTAAGTGCAGGCAGGGTGCGAGGCTGAGGCTTCGCGGCGGCTTTTCCTTACCCAGGTGCATCTAAATTTACGGTCGGAATAGAATTTGTCACATTTTTAACAACATCAGAATGTGGAGAAAATGCAAAATATATTAATGTGAGAGCAAAGTCATCCTTTTTAACAGCGTGTCTGCGTTCGTGATTAGATTTCCCTGTCCAGCTGAGCAGCTGGTTGATGGGCTGTTCTTTTTTTTTTTTAATCCTCATCCGAGGACAGTTTTCCATTTTTTGTACAGATAGAGTAGGAGGGAGAGAGAGGAAGAGAGAGAGAGGGAAACATCGATGTGAAAGGGACACATCGAGTGGCTGCCACCCGCACGACCAACCAGGGCCGGGGACAAACTGCAACCGAGGTACGCGCCCTTAGCGGGAACCGAACCCGGGTCTCTCCAGACCGCAGGCGGACGCTCTAACCGCTGAGCCAAACTGGCCAGGGCTGATGGGCTGTTCTTGAAGGGCTAGCTTGCCCTGCCCAACAGTCTTCCCGTAGAAACGTCAGCTCAGGCCCGCCGGAAGGCACATGCTCTCTGTCCAGGCCAGGCAGACGGGATCGATGAAGTGATAAAGATGCTGCTTATTTGGTTAGGTTAATGGCTAGCTAAGCTGGCCCCACATTGGTCCTTTAATGTGCCCTGGACTCTTCATCTAAAATTGTTCCTTTTCCTCCTGGTACCTCTTTCTTCATCTGTTTCACCTTCAAAGTCAAGCTGGATTATTTCGGTGGAGCTGGCGATCGGCCCTGAGGAAGGCATCAGCTACCTCACAGACAAGGGCTGCAATGTAAGTCTGCTCTGGGCATCCTTGGACTGCTGTGCATAGCCCCCATGTGGGCTCGCTGCGGACAGAGACCGAGCTGAGGAACGGGGGTTCACTGGGTCTGTGTGCTTGAACACTTGTAGTCTGAGCAGGGGAGAAGCCAGTGAAGGAGCCCTGCACGAGCCAGGGAGGGCGCAGGAAATCCTGGGCAGCTAGTTGTCCCCAGGCCGAGGGCTGAGCACCTCAGGGCTGTGCTGCCAGTTGCCCGGGGCAGAGGGCATGGAGTATTGCCCGCGGGCATCTCAGGAAGACTCCTTGAGTCCTTTGTGCACCGAGTTCCAGCTCGATCCCAGGGCGTAACCTGTGCTGAGGGGTCACTTGGCAGGAGAAGTGGATGCGCGTGACATGCTAAGAGCAAGAGGTCTTAACCAGGCTACTTGTTTTGAATAAACGTGTAGGAATTCATTGCATGCAAAATAATCGCTTTCTTGACATGCTAGAGTGCTAAAAGACAGATGGGCATATTTTATATTCCTAAAAAGAAGAGTTGATTCTGCTTGGAAATGGAACAGTTTCTCTGGGCCTGTCGTGGGAGGGTCCTTGGGCACTTCCTGCCTCCCACGCTCCATTCCACACTGGAACCTCAGGTTTCTGGGGTGTGTGCAGGTGCAGGTGTGTTGGGAGTGGGCCCTGGTCCCTCCCTGTGGGAAGGGGAGCAGACGTTCACTCCGACCAGGAATTTCTCACACACACACCCCAGCTGGTGAGGAGCCAAGTCAGGGACTCCCTTCTACTTTCCTCGCTGTCTTGTCCCTGGCGTGGCACCTGCGTGGCCCTCCGCCAGCTCCTGGGGCAGTATCCTCCGTGGCCTCTCAGCACGAGGCACAGCCAGCCCTGCAGCTCCACCACTGCTCAGAAAGAGAGCCCCCGGGAGCATCTTCAGGAGGGTGGGGCGGGTGGGCGGAGATGCGCAGAGTGTGTCGTCAGTCTCTAGTCTTTTATCTGTGGTCCACAGTTTGCGCCTTTTCTTTCCAAAGCCCACGCATCTGGCCGACTTCAATCAAGTGCAGACCATCCAGTACTCAAGCAGCGACGACAAGGACAGGAAAGGGACGCTGCAGCTGAAGATAGCGGGCGCGCCCGAGGTAGGAGCGCGCAGCCTCCGGGCGCACGGGGGCCGGGGTGTTTGGGGATGATGATTTTTTCGTGGGTCATCAGTCATGATAATCACGATTAAGTGCCCCCAAGTGTAGAACAGGAAACAGATATAAAAATCGGTCAAGAGCATTATTGTGAAGATAATTGAAGATTAATGCAAATTACCAAGGAAGTCAACTTCTTAAAATTGTGTAGAAACACATGTCTATAAACTGTTATTTTCTAAAGTGCACTGCCTGGCCCAGGGCCTGGGTGCTCAGCTGTGCACGCAGCGCGCTAAGGACGGCGGCAGGAGAAGCGAGGCCCTGGCAGAGCGGCATGAGCCTTCTGCAGAGCACAGGACGCCGTGCGCTAGGCGGCGCTGGCCGGCAGCAGACACGTGTGCGTGGTGGCCTGTTAGGCGCTCCTCCAGTCCCCCGCAGCACAGCGCTTCTCGCCTGTCCTTGTTCTGCCCGCCTTGGGGGTGGGTTTCTGAGGCTCTGGGAAGTGCATTTGATGCTTGGTATTCAGTGACGCCACGAAACATTGGCACCCTACTACAAGTGGAGATGTCCTGCAGAGAGCTCCGGCGTGTCCTCGTCAGGCACCGTGCTTTTCACACCGCCCCCCCCCCCCCGTAACAGAGGGATGATGCAGGCGAGGCGAGTTGTTCGTTTAGAGGTTATACATGCTGCGAGAATCAGCACAAGCCTGTATTTGGGAGCAAAATGCAGCTTTGATTACCTGCTGGGGACCACTCAGTGACAGTCGCTGGGAAATGCCTCAAGCACACGTGTTCTGTCAAAGTGATTTCTGAGCTCCTAGGCAGAGACTGCTGTGCCTGCTGGAAACGCTGGGGTTCACTGATCTCAGAGTCACAAAAACTATGGCGGTTGGCTGGTCAAAATGTGCTCCCTGTTAGTGTCGCTTCTGATGAGTCCCCTTCCGCGCATGGTTCTCTAGCCTCTTCCGTGAGTCAGAGTGCCAGAGGGGCCAGGCGTTCAGAAGGGAAACCCTTTCCCACTTCCTTTTGTTCTAGAAAGTGAGTCTCAGTGTGAGTGATTTTCCGTCTTCGTCTGGGTTCGCCTTCTGCCAGAGTCTAGGAACAGCGTCTTAAACATCAAACTTCCTTTTCACTCAGACCTCACGACGAACCCTGTCCCACTGCCACTCGCCTGTTTGTGCGGGTGTGCAGAGCCCTGATGTCATGCGCAGCTGTCCCTTTGGGTATCAGGCAGAACAATAACGGCTCTCTCTCGGTCTGTTCCCCTTTTAGCCTCTGACAGTGACAGCACCGTCCCTGACCATTGCCGAGAACATGGCCGACCTGATCGACGGTTACTGCCGGCTGGTGAACGGAGCCTCGCAGTCGTTCATCATCAGACCCCAGAAAGGTGAGCTTCGGTTCTCTTCACACCTTCTCACCTAGCTGATTGACGGGCCCCCAGCAGCCTGGAACTCTTCCCGGTAACTGAACTCGAACACCGAGCGAATGACTCAGCCTGTAAGTCTGTGCTCTTCTTTCCTAGTGCAGAGGCCCAGCTCCCAGCCCAGGAGCTGGGCTTGAACAGAGCACAGAGAGCTGCTGTACTGCGAGAACACACTCGAGTGTTTTCCAGGTGACCATTAGTATTTCCTAATAAACTTTTGGGATTATGTTCTGGGTGTTGTTGTTTTTTAAAGTATCTGTTCTAACTCATGTCAGTAAAGCCTCTTTGGCTATTTTTTCTTATACATCTCAGAAGCTTAGAACAGTCCAAGAACAAAATTAGTTCAATGTCATGGGATGAAACCGATTAGAATGAATACCCACCCTGGAGGTGAGGGTGTACCACTTCAGAAGTGCTGTGTGGGTGTCGCGAGGCTGGTTGAGTTCTCCATTCACTGAGCGGGGCCGACGGCCTCTGAGTGCAGGCCTCTGCCGGGCGTCAGGCAGGCCCAGGGCAGCCTGCAGGTGGTCGGCCATGTGGGAAGTGCTCTGGTACCGCAGCAGATGCCACGAGGACCGTCCACGGCCTCTGGAGGTGTCTCAGCGAGGGCTCCTTTGAGGAGACCGTGCTGGAACTGAGCTTTGAAAGACTGAGAAGAGGAATGTTTGCTCCAGAAGGAAGAGCATCTTTCAAGAACTGGAGTGTGCAAGGGCCGAGTGATGCACCGGGAAGCGTGTACTGGGGGGAGAGCTGATGGGACCAGGTTCAAGGGCAAGTGCAAGGAGAGGCAGCATGTGTGACTGCACCAGGGCTGTTAGCCTGGAGCTGCCTGGGAAAGGATCAGAGAAACGGGTGGTAGATGGGCACTGCCCACCTGTACACCCCACCCCACCCCACCCCACAGACACACCTGAGGATGGAGACAGAGCAGTGCTCTGTGCCGATAGGAGCAGAGCGGTGCTTTGTGGGATAAACAGTTGCATCAGTTTCATCCTAAACACTGTCAAGAGAGACAGTACAGTTGTGAGCAGGGGCATGACTTGATGACTTTGTTTTGGGGGAGGTGGATTGCAGGACAGGATCAGGTAGGAGTTTGTTCCCGTTAATACAGATAGAAGAGATTAAACCAGGGGGCTCTTTGCATCCTGCTGTAGAAGAAGAGGGGGGAGAGAGTCTTCCCAACCCGGGACTGGGTCCCGAGCCTCCTGTCACAGGTGGGAGGTGACCACTGTCGGTAGAGAGCTCCAAGACACAGACTCTGCCAGGTGCCCGCTCTGCAGGCCTGTTCCTGGACCCTCGGGGCCTCTGTCCCTCAGGAGCCGCACATCTCTGGGTCTGTGTCTCCTGCACAGGCTTGGTGTCGCTGCTAATGAGCATGTTTGTCAGATGCAGTGTCCAGTCCTTCCGCGGGGAGGGTGGGTGCTGACTGCAGACACCTCGTCTCTGAGGGCCTCCTGGGGAGACACTTTTCATCGTTTGTCACCTTCACACTTCAGCTCCCTTGAAGGGCCATTGCGCAGATGCTGCGATGGGACTCATCCTCCCCCGTTTTCTGCATAGAATCTTCCCAAGGGAACAGAGGGAACCTCACCGTTGTCTTTTCTTTTTCCCCCAGAAGGCGAACGGGCTTTGCCATCAATACCGAAGTAAGTGCTGATGTTCGCTTCCTGGCGCTCGTTTGTGCCCAGCGGTGGGACCGCGGCTCCAGGGCCATCGGCCGCACAGCCAGGGCGCGCCCTTCGGGAGGGGCTGGAACACGTTCCGAGAGCAGCCAGCCAGATGTACATCACGTCACGTGTTTAGGTCCAATCAGAAGTTGAGAGTGAATCTTCCCTTTATCTTACATTCATTAGGGAGCTCAAGAATAGTCAGAGCAGTGGTGCTGTGGGGCCGGTTAAATACGCACTTCGCACTGTCCCTGGTCTTTATGAGAACCTGGACATAGGGACCGTTCTGGCTGTTTTACAAGTGAGAAAATTAAAAACTATGAAAGTAATTTATGTTAGTTTTTTGTACTTGTTTATGTCATAAATTTCATTGTTTATGTATTGATCTACATAATTAAAATAATTGATAGTAGTGCTTAAAGAACTTAATAATGTCTCTTTTTCAGCCAGTGTACTAGAAACTAGGGACCAGATGACAGTGAAGTCTAGGGTACAGGCCAGTGAGCAGGTGCAGCTGTGTCCCGAGCTCCCAGACAGGTGTGAGCAGAGCCCAGGGCCCACAGAGGAGCACTGCAGCTGGAGGCCCTGGGGTTGGGGGCTTCCCATTTGCAGGGCACGAGGTCACTGTCCCAGTTGCTTTCTCGGAGCAGTTGTCTGTCCTTATTTCTGATCTTTGAAACATTAAAGCAGTCTGGTGATTTTAAGGGTTTGGATAGTAGAATCCAATTTTTTTAAAAATCTGCCCTCTATTATGTGAGTCTTCATGGGAAACAGTGTGGTTCTCCTGATTGTCGGCAGTTCAGTATGAAAGAGTGACAGTCGTTTGGCTGAGAGCATGGCACTCACAGCGGTACCCCTCTGTTTCAGGCTGGCCAACAGTGAGAAGCAGGGCGTGCGGACACACGCGGTCTCCGTGTCAGGTAAGGGCTCGCCTGGAAACCCACAGAGCACCCTGCTCGGTGGAGGTGGTGGTAGGAGGGTCATTGCGGCAGATGTCTGTTCCTTTTATTATGATTCTGCCTCCTGAACAGCTCATAGAAATGAGACACTGACTACCCAACTGCGTAATCTCACCATCATTAAATCGGTGTAAATACGGGTTTTCCGTAGGTGAGCCATACAAGAGTAATTCCAGATTACTCACACAGTTCTATAGAATTCCAAGTCGGTTTTTAGTTTTACTGTCATGTTAACCATATTTAGTGTGAAATTTTTACTTTTGGAATTGCCATTATAATTTATCTTTGCAGTTCAGCAGAATTAACAGAGTATATTTTGTATATTCATTGTGTTCTGATGTTCCAGATATGTGATACATTTTAAAATGGTTTTTGTCTTTCACAATTAACATAAAATGGTGTTTGATTATTACTTTTTTTTTTTATCCTCACCCTTACTTTTTTAAACGTCTAGTTCAGATACTGGCATGAACATCATCTTCACTGTTTGTTGGCATGGTGAGCGTGCTGTGCTTTCCTTGGTATGTTTTCAAAATACATGTGTCTTTCCACTGAAAACTGGAAAACAGGAGGGGGAAGGAAACAGGTCTTCGGTGGACCCAGGCTTCCACCTCACAGCACACTCGTGTTCTGCACACACGGTCTGTCCTCCGATGTGTGCCACTCAGCCCCTGCCAGCTCCGGGGCCGCAGCCTGGCCTCGGGGAGACCCGGCGGGTTCCTGGACGCCCGTTGGCCTCGAGCCCTTTCCCGAAGCTCCGCTCTCGCTGCGCCTCGCTGCTGGCGGCGCTTTGTTTTCCACACACACATGTAACTGTTCATCACTCTCTTTTTAAAAAATAATTTTTATATGTTTTTATTGATTTTTTTTCCCTCCTAAAGAGAGAGGGAGGGAGAGAGAAATAGAAACATCGATGTGAGAGAGAAACGTTGATCAGCTGCCTCCTGCACGCCCCCTACTGGGGTCAAGCCCACAACCCGGGCCACAACCTGGGCCTGTGCCCTGACCGGGAATCGAACTGGGGCCTCTCAGTCCATGGGACCACGCTCCATCCACTGAGCACACCCACCGGGCTGCTCATTGCTCTTTTGTGCGTAAGCACCCTGTAAGCCCCTCTCAGGAAGTGTGCTTGTGTTGGTCTGATTCTCAAAGGTACCCCGTGCGTGTGACAGATGTGTGCCGAGTACTCGGCGTCAGAAGGCTCTGAGCACTGCCAGCAGGGTGGAGCAGAGGTTGGCTCCAGGGCCGGTGCCTGGTGGATGGTGTCCCATGCCTGGTGGGCTGTAGGGTGACCAGCACGTTGCTAATGTTCTTAATGAATTTCTGTGCCCGAGCAAGGGTGCTGGGCACTTAGGGACACGCTCAGGTATAGGAAGGAGAAAAGTAGGGACACTGAGAGCCAGCAGTGACCCTGAGGGTCCCTGGTCTCCCAGACGATCCTGAGCTGCTCACTGCGAATTGTTCTGGGGCTCTGTAGGAGCTTATGGGCAGGGGCCGTGGAGGCACTCGCTCGATCCAGCACCCAGGGGGCCCCGGCTGGGAAATAGAGCAGTATGCTTTCATTCCGGTGATGAGATAGCAGGCCTCACTTGTGTTTCATTGCGAAGGAAAGGTACTTATTGCATCTTCTGTAAGACAGTTACAATTAATGTTAAGTATGTGGAGAGCTTATCTTCGCTATCAAGACCAAATTTCTCTCTAAAATTGAGTACGGTGGCCCTGGCCGGTGGGAGTCAGTGGTTGGAACATCCACCTGTGCATAGCAGGGTCTCAGGTTCATTTCCCAGTCAAGGGCACACACCTGGGTTGCAGTTCAATCCCTGGCCTGGTCAGGGCGTGTGTAGGGCACAGCCAATCTGTGCGTCTCTCACATCGGTGTTTCGCTCTCCCCTTCCCTCTCTCCCCCGCCCCTTCCCTTTCTTCCACTCTACCTAAAAATCAGTGGAAAAAATATCCATGAATGAAGATTAACAAGAAATAATAATAAGGTGAACAGATCTACAAAATGTCTAACAGAACAGTGTACTTCCTTGAGCACATTATTCTGAATCCTAGAGTAGGTTTCTAGCCTAAGTATCAAGACTTTTTTCCTTTCAGGAAACGTGTGCATGTTGTGTAGATCTCAGGTAGCACTCAGAGCCGACAGGCAGCACTTGTGACTAGGGGTCTGGGAGTGTGGTCACGGGGCGGGGGCTTGGTTCAGGACAGGCCTTCACCAGGCTTCAATGATCTTTCATTTGTAAGTAGTTCTAGAACGTAAGGCTCTTTGGAAGTGTTGTACTACAAGAAAATGGACTGCGATTCCTGTGTACCAGCTGTCCAGTCTGTGCTGAAGTCCCTTTGCTCGAGGTGCTTCCTCACTCAGCTGTCTGGTCAGGAGCCAGCAGCAGTGCTGGTCGAACTTGCTGCTTCTCCTGTTTCCTCCTTTCTTTTCTGATCGCAGCTTATTTGTTGTCCACCCCCCCCCCCCCCGCCCCAGATCTGGCTGATCCACCTCTGTGATGTCCTGCTGGGCGCATTGCTCCCAGGCCCCCGTCTTCTTGCACTTTCTCTAAGCTGGGCATTAGGATCCAGAGAGGCTTGGTCGGAGTTGGGCTCAATGGGTGTTTGTAATGAGACCGCGTCATGGGTGGTGCAAGTGACGCCTGGCTGTCTGTGACACTCGGACCGAGCAGTAGGTTTGGTCTGTCCGATGCATCCACTGGAAAGCCCCGTGAGCACATCACCTGACCGCTTTCGCAGCCACTGATCTCCACGCCTGGGTTCCATCGGGCCGGAAGAGGGGACAGCGGATTCCTTTCCCCGTTGGCGGTTCAGCGAGACTGGCCAGCCGGTCGCCCGAGGAACGGTCCCTGCTGGAAAGGCTCCTCCTTCCCTTCCCCCGCGGGCGCGGACAGTGAGCTGCCTCCCTCCCCAGAAGATGTTGTCTGGTGGGAATTCATGGATTTCTAGCAATGCTGAGGGCAGGGGTTCCCATGAGCACCCCAGGTTGGATGATTTGCCAGGAGGGCTGTTTTCTCGGAACTCAGGGCTGAGATCAAGTTCAGCATTGTTAGCACTAAACTGTAATTTCCAAGGAGAGGAATGAGATTGAGAGGCCTGGTCACTTGCGTGACTACACATCAGAGGACATGTTGACCCACTGGGCCTGACCTCATCATTCCCTGATGTTTCCTTAAATGATGTCCCACTTCCCCGTTCCTACCTAACTCGTTGATGACGTCTGTGAGTGCTGCCATCTTGACCCTGACCTGTGCTCTCCCTGGGCCCACACCTGACGTCCTCATCCTTCTCGATGGGTCTGCGGTTAAACTTTCACGCCACCCATGTCTGTTGTCACACATTGTCACTGCTGCATCGTAAAGGGCTATGTTGTGTGTCCCTTGTTTGCCCTCACTGTGACATTCTGCTGTTGCTCTACATACTGTCGTTTCTTCTCTGTTTCTCACTGTGTTGTGAGCTCCTGGAGGGCCGGGATGTCTTGCTGATCCAGCAGGTGCCTACTGTAGTGATGCTGACTGTCAGACGAGCTTGGGTGTGGGAACGAGGGAGTGAATGTGTAAGCGCTGTCAGTGGGCAGAGGGCTTTACAACCTGTGGATTCAAACATCCTAATCACCAGTTTTTTATAATAAGGTAATTTATTTGAGGTGTACACGTACGGTCTCTAAGTCTGTGTCTGCTGATGATTTGGGGGAAATTGCCCATAAAGCTCTTTTACAAATCAGGATCAGCTATGCTCGTTTCCCACAATTTTTGCTTTATGGTTGAATGTTAGATGTTCACAAGAATCTGGAATTATGTATTGGTCTTTAATTTTGTCTTGTTTCATTTTGTTTTGGTTTTGTTGTTTGTAAAGATATCTGTACCTTCACTTGGCTGGGTGCAGAACTGTGAGACTCTCCTTATGTCTTGCTAGAAGTCTCTCTACCTAGTGCTAATCTTTGCTAAAAGAGGAAATTGCATGTTAAAATATTCATGTTTTTTCAAACCCACGTCAATCATAGTAAGAAACTGTGTCAATAGTCAAATAAGATACTGCAATTTTGTATTTATTTTTATAGCTGTGCCGTAAAATGTGACATACATTTCTTTTGTACTGAAATAATGTTTCTGTTTTTCTCTCTTCTCTCGCCTCTTTATAAAGGAGTCAGTCACTGCCAGCATAAGGTTAAGAAAGCTAGGCGCTTCCTCCCTTTGCTCTTCTGTTCCCACGAGCCTCCTACGGGTACTGCACTCACCTTTGCACAGGCCCTTAGCCGCCACAGGGCCCGGGCAGAGCCACCTTGCTGGGGTCTGTGTGCGCTGCCCCACCCAGCAGCGATTCAGGGGCCAGGGTTCAAGTAGAGGTCTTCGGGCTGCTCTGTTGGTAGAAGATTTTGTTCGCCTGTTTGCTGATGTGTGCATGCAGTGCAGGGCGGTAGGGAGCTTCCTGGTTCCACGTGTGGGTGTTGGGGTGGGGGTGGTGTGGGTGTTGTAGTGCAGGGCCGGCAGCTACTGTGTTTGCACCGTGCTTTCCTGGTGGTGCATGCGGCTGGATGCAGGGGAGTGGCCAGGGAGCCATGGGCAGTATCTGTGCTTGGGGCAGCTGCTGAGGGGTGGCGGCGGGCGTAGCGGCAGCCAGCCACGTGGACGGTGTTCTAGGAAAGCAGACGCGTAGTGATAGAGCAGGGACTTCTCTGAGCGCCGTGTGGATACACGTGGAAACAGCCTGTGAGCGAGCACAGCTTCGTGCGCCTGCCCCTCGGGGCCTGGCGCTGGGCTCGCGGAAGAGCCCGCCGGGCTGCCCCTGCTTACCAGTCAACGTCCACACTAACGATGCCTTGCGTTCACTTTTATCTAAGAGCGTCCAAATTCCCTTTGAGGGGGGTAGAAACCATTTTAACACTTAATTGTGAGAGGCAATCCAGTGAATGTTGTTCGGTGAGAGAAACCGCCTTCGACGCTGCCGCACTCGGCTGCAGATCTTCTGTCTTAAGTAGGCCTTGGGGTGATTTTTTTATTTTCCTTACACTTTGATTTACTTGTCATTTTAATAGTGTTTTCCCTCTCTCCTCCCCCTTTCTTTGCATGCTGCCTGGATCTGCAGATGAAATTAGTGGGGACGGTAATGTTTCTTTTCTCATTCATGTTCACTAACGTGCGGCGGTATGTACTGATGTGCACGTCGTTCAGTGTGGAGTGAGGGCAGACTGGTTTCCGTGCAACAGAGCAAGGGGTTCAGGGCTCCCACACGGAGAGCGTGGCTCCGTTCCTTCACCACGTCTCACTCGCACATTTGAGTTGTATATACTCACAGTGAATTTTCTAGATTTTGACCTTCAAGCCAGAATTGTAGAAAAGTGGTCTGAATGGTACCATTCGGAACATGAGTTGCACTCGAGAGCACTGATGACAGACACGGACCCTGTTCCCGAGTGTGGGACCTGCATCGTGCTGTTGGGGAGGGAGGGCGTGGGCAGGAAGGGTGCATGCTGAGGAGAGCGGCAGGCCCCAGGGGTTTCGGAGGTTTCAGTTGTCATGTGAGGACGGCTCCCAAGCAATGGAGGGCGCTCTGAGTCAGCTGGGAACCTGACCGTGGGCAGTGGCCCCTGTCCGCCTGCCTCGTGCCCCGCGCCCCGCAGCCGCGCTCTGCTTTCAGGAGCCAGTCTGTCCGCGAACGTGCAGGGAGAGTGTTTTCCTCGTGCTGAAGCTCCGCCTGTGTTCACGTGGGTGAGGGGACGGACAACTTTGGCATGACGAGCAGAGCATGTGCAGTGAGAGGTCTCAGCTCGGTGTGGCCGGAGAAGCACGTCTTCTTCGTGGACACAGCCAGGGCGTTGAGCTCACTCCCAGTGCACTCCCGGGAGTGACGGGCAGCTGCTGCCGCTCACGGGCAGTGTCCATGGGCAGCGATTCACTGCTGTGCAGGTGCAGACACGGATGGTCCGTGGCCACCAGGAGATGAGTGGCTGGGTCTCAGGCTGCTGCCGCTTGCACTGCCCTCAGCTGACATGAGGGACCTGCGTCTTCCCCTGGGGAGGTCTCCGGTGTGTGGGGGACTGCTGTGCAAGCACAGGTCCGTCAAGGAGGCGTCGTCATGCGTGCTCCCACATTTGCATTTCCTGATGCTGGACATTAGACACAGCAGTACTGGTAGCCCGCTTTACAGACAGAGAAACTGAGCCTTAAGCCTTTAATCACTTAGTTTAGGTCAGGGGGCCACATACCGAGGTCTGCAGGCCAAATACTGCCCATCTGCTGATTTTATATCGCCCCTTGAGCTAAGAATGATTATTACGTTTTTAATGGCTGGTGGGGAAACAGAAGTAGAATAGTGTTTGTGGCATTGAAACTACAGGAAGTTCAAATGGCAATGTCCACAAGTCAGTTCTTGTTTCTCTTAAATTTTTTTAATCCTCTTCTGAAGATATCTTTTCCATTGATTATTAGAGAGAGTGGTAGGGAAGGGGCGGTGGGGGGAGAGAAAGAAATAGCGATGTGAGAGAGACACGTCGATTGGTTGCCACCTGCCCCAGCCAGGGCAGGGATCAAACCTGCAACCCAGGTACGTGCCCTTGACTGAGCATCGAGCCTGTGACCCCTTGGTCCTAGGGCTGACACTCTAACAGCTGAGTGACACCAGTCAGGGCCATTAGTCAGTTTCATTGGATCATGGTTACCTGGTTCATTTACCTAGTGGTTGTGGCTCTTACCCACGTAGTGTGAGCAGCACAAGTGAGTGTGAGTAGCTGGGGCTGTGTGAGCCGTGCTGTTGGCCATTTACAAAAAGTTCGCCCCCCTGGCTGGGTCCTATAGCTAGTGGACAGGGAAGAGCAGGGCATGTCTGAGTCACCAGGTGGATGAAAGCTGTGGTCGGTCCAGCCCCTGAATGACCGAGTAGCCTAGTCACTGTGCAGATGTGGCCACATGGGACCAATGGCTTGTTCACTCATCCTGAGGGCCTCGGGGAGGCCTGTTGGGAACAACGCATCAGAACTGCAGGGGTCCAAGCCAACACCCATGCCACCAGGGGACAGGGCCACCGTTCCCTGCCGGGGCCTGGTGACAGATTCACTGTCTGCAGCCCTCTGTGGGAAGGTCAGCAGGCGGCCAGCCCTGGGAAGTGGGGAGCCTGGAGGCTGTGCAGTCCCTTCATTGGTGGCCAGTGAGGGCATCACTGCAGCTGCCATGTCCCTCCCGATCCAGACCGGCTCTCACCAGCGGCTGCAGGGCCCTCAGGCTCTGGGCGCTGTCATGGTGGCTTCCCTGCGTCCCTTCGCTTGGCTTTAAAATGAGAACGAGCACTTTCTCTGCAGGTCTCTGAGCTGTTGGTTTTCGTTCTTTTTATATGTCTTCATATCATTTTTATTTTACCACGTACTGTGATACCAAACTTTTCAAATAATGTCCGAGGCTTTAGAAGTCCCGCTTTTTGTTGTAGTTAGTCCTCACCCGAAGATATTTTTCTATTGATCTTTAGATAGAGTGGAAGGGAGGGAGGGAGAGGGAGAGAGAGACACATAGACATTAATTGGTTGTCTCTCACACGACCCCAACCGGGGATCAAAACTGCAACCGAGGTACGTGCCCTTAATTGGGAATTGAATCCTCAACCCTTTGGTCTACTGGCCGACACTCTTAACTGCTGAGCCAAACTGGCCGGGGCACTTTTGCTTAAGTGTTTATTTCAAAATGGTTAACTCATGGGCCAGGCATCCTAAAATTGTCTCCCAAGTACATAGGCCCTGATAAGCCTTCCTGTGAGCAGCCCTGGAGTAAAACGGTGCCCACAAGGGGTGGTATGGGGATCCCAGACCTCCTTCAGGGAAGAATCCATGTCAAAATGCACTCAGCGTGGCGGAGGGCCATGTGCTGGAGTGCCTTCTGCTGCCAGCCTGCCATGGACTGGCCCTGGTACCCCGAGAAACCTCCTCATCACCCGGGGGTGAGAACAGCACTTGATGGTGTCTCCGCGGCTGGCGCAGGGCTCGCTGCCACCATCGAGTGGAGCATGCGCGCTGTCTGCTCCTGTGCGCATGCCCCGGTCTTGAGCCTGTCTCCTCTCTCTGTTTCTGGTTCTTCTGTCTCACCATTTCTTGGAGGCTGGGCAGTTCAGGTGGGCTCCAGTTTCTCAGGGGCCTCGAGTGTGTGGACGTACCTCTCCCGTCAATGTCATACAGCCCGTGATCCTAAAGCCCAGAGAGAAAGACAGGAATGGAACCAAATCAATGTCAAGAATGCTCAGAGAAACGGGCAGGTGCTGCCACTCAAAGATGCTCATGCAAAAGGTGACGCTGAGCTCCACTTGGTCCCTGTACCTGTGCAGCGGTATTGATGCCCGGGAAGGACACGAGTTCTGTCCATGGCAGCCCAGTGCTCACATTGGCACCCCAGATGTCACCGGATAACTTCCAGAGAGCCTGCACATCCCCAAGGTTCTGTATGGAATTCACACGACAGGCCAGGGAAGGGTGGGCCCTTCCTGGTCACTGAATTAATCCAGCTGCCGCCTCCACTATGCCAAGGCAGGTCTGTGCTACCTGACGGGTAGTAGCTGTTTCATTCCTGCTGCTTCAGAACTGCTGCCTCCACTGAGGATTTGATACCAAGGCAGCCCTGGGACCAGCACTGCCCCCTGGGCGGCCCTCGCCCTCCGAGGCCTGCTTCTGTCCATGGAGCTCTGCAGAGGAGGCAGAGCCTGTGCTCCTGCAGCAGGGCCGGTCTCAGCTCCTACAGCTCCTGAGACCCTGAGCAACCCTCCAGGGCATGTGTCCTCGTTCATACAGAGGGCGCAGCTGAGGCGGACAGATGAAGGTCAGGCAGGTCACCCCCAAATATGAGGTGGTGCCTCAGCTGAGGGGGGCCTTATGAGTGCGGTGCGCCCCGCCCTGCACCTGGCTCCTCTTTGCTCAGCGTGGTCACGACGCGCTGTCCTCGTTGTCACAGGCGCCTCCTGAGCCCTCTCTGTGCAGGTGCCGTTCAGGAGCTGAGCGTGTGCACAGGACACGGGACCCGTTCTGGAGAGCTGATGGGGAGCCCAGGACTGGCGGGTCGCTGGTCGTCATAGGTGCTGAGGAAGTAGAACAGGCACATGGTTAAGAGTAATTGGACGTCAGTTTGAAGAGGGGTCCCTGAGTAGGTGGCACTCTAGCCGAAAGCAGAAGTAGCCATGAGCCAGCTGGGTGTCAGCACCAGTGAGCCCTCAGGAAGAGGGTCACCTTCTCCCTCCCGGCCTGGGACTGGCAGCCGTGGGGCCCGTGCCACGGGAAGCATGGGCACCTGACACTCGCTGGGTCCTGACATCTCCTTAGTGGAGCTCTGGGTGGCTGGGTGAGGGCAGTAGAGGTGGGGTCTGAGCAGCTTTTATGCCAGCATCTTGCCCCCTTCAGGGCCAGCCAGGGAGGGGAGTTCTGTCTGGGACACCTGGGCTAGTTTTGCTTTCTGATGGGAGTGGCCTGGAGCTGAGCCTGTTAAGTGAAGAAGAGAGAGGAAATGGTGAGCTAGCATCCCTCAGCTCAAGTGGCTTCTGTTGTCTGAACTACAGAGAGTAGGTCCCTCCCCCCTCGGTCCTGGTTCTCACCAGTGCCTGGGCAGCTCCCTCTGTCCCAAGTTGCATGTCACAGTGTCTTGCTAAGTCCTCTCACACGGAAGCAACGCTGCAGGCCTGGACCAGGGCACATTCTGTCCGTAGTGTCCACTGAGAACAGGTAGGAGGGAGAGCTGTAGAAATGAAAGAATGCAGGCTTTGGGCTAGGTTAGTTCCTCTTCAGTCCCGGAGGGTCAGGGTCGACACGTAAGAACAATAGAGGTTATCGACCTATATATAGAAATTGTGAATGGTTTATATTTGCTAAATGTGTTCAAGATGATTGGTTTATCGACTTTTCACTCTATCAGTTGAAATTTTTTTTTACTTTAATAATTTGTACTGATGGTTACAAATTAAGAAATGAGTTCTCCTGGGAACTGTTAGACGTGCTCGCAGTCATTACATAGCTGTGTGTGGGACGACTGAGCCCTAGAGAGTGTGAACTGTAGTCTCGCCTTTCTTTGGTTTCTACGATTTTCATATCGGAATGAAGAAATAATGGCATCAGAGAAGAAGGAACATTTAGTTTTTCCTTTCTCTGGGGTTTCCAGTGGCTGCCAGGTCAGGTTTTCAAAGTAGTGCTCTTGTCAGGTGATTCCCGAAGGCTGCCCCTCCTCCTCTGCCTCGTAGGCGGAGCAGCGGGCGTGTCCTCTCCCACACGTGATTGCTGCTGTGCGTGCGGGGCTCTCTCCATGCGGTCCCCCAGTACTTGGGGGTGGGTTTTTAAGTTGCTGCATCATGGGAAGGAGTAAGTGGAAGTCCTAGGACTCCTTGCCCATGTCTCAGAAAAGAACTCATTTTAATATGCTGTTTATTCTCATCTTACTCTTTTTGGTAGATATTGTGCCTGTTTGGCGTTAATGTATGCTCTTCAAATACCGGAGTGAGAAGGTTACTAGAGAAAAGTCCCTGGGCTGCTTTCGCCCTGAACAAATAAAATGAATCAGCTCAGTTAATCTCCCCGAAATCGGCTGCCAGTTTTGTTTTCCAAAGGAGAACGCTGAGCCGATGCTGTGGGGCCCGATGATGAGTGAGTGCCCTCGGGGGCTGTTGGAGACACCAGTGGACAGTGCGTGGTGCTGAGGTCTCTGCGGGCGGAGGGAGGGTGCCGTCGGTGCCCATGGGGTGGGGCTGACCCAGTTCCCGTGTCTTGGTCCTTCCCCAGGGCTCTCTGTGCTCTGTCTGCTCTGAGAAGCAGGTCTGTCCTACAGCAGGGGCCATGATACCACTTTTATTTCTCTCAGTGACTCGTGTATGAGCAAAAATTGAGTAATAGTGTTTTAAGAACATGAAAGCATAATAGGGGATTGAGGCAGACCATTTTGCCTTTTCAAATTCTCCACAGGCCAGGAGTTCAAATATTTAACCTCTTCCAACATACCTGTTTCCTTTCCTGCAGAAACAGACGACTATGCTGAGATCATAGATGAAGAAGATACCTACACCATGCCCTCAAGTAAGCAGACTTCTGCTTTGTTCTCCTTCCCTGGTGACAGATAGTTAATATGTAAATAGCTCACGTGTAAAGGCCTTAGATACTTATTGGCCTTTTAGAACTGTTCTTAATGCCTCATTGAGTGTCTAACAAATACTCTTTAAAACCCTCAGAATTCTGCATTTATGTGCCCAAAACTCAGGCTTGCTGTCCTCTTGCTTTCTGGGTCTGTGATAGTATAACCTTTATTGATCAGAGTATTTCCTCTCTGTAGAAAACAAATGTTATTTAGAGTTAAAGCATATCTCTATTTAATCCCATGCCTGAGTCTGCTCAGTGAGGCACATGTCCCCGTGAACCAGCGTTCTCGCCCTGACGAACCGGGGACAGAGCTGCTCTCTCTCCTGCGTTCCTGTGGCCGGCGGCCGGCGATGGCTGCCCCGCGCTTCACTGCCAGGCGGCTGGTTGATCGAGGGCATCTGGAAGGCCCGGGTCTCCAGTTGGAGCTTATAGTCCCAGATCTAGAATTGGAGGCACCCTTAAACTGTCATTCACATTTTAAAAACTGTAAACCTACCCCTTAAAGAGGCCCCATCATAATTCCACCTTACAGCCTCGGAGGCATTAATAATGCAACAGCTCACACCTGATTTCAGTGGAGCCATACATATTTGTAATATAAATGTCTGGAGTGCTTTACCGTGTGGTGTAAATATTTTAAAAGGTGCTTGCGTTTAGACTTACTGTACACTGAGGAGCTGTTACCAAAATAAAGAGAAACCACCCAGCCCGCTGAGGCCTGCATAGCCTCAGGAGCCCTGGGCCCGTTCCCCACCGCCTGTGTTGTCAGAGAGGGATGCGAAACAGAGGCCAGAGCTAAAACGTACGTGTGTGCGTTTTGACTTGCAGTAACAATTTGGGAAAATATTAATTTTTGGTTAGACATTTTGTCATTTATTTTTCAGTCCTTACCTGGGGATATTTTTCCACTAATTTTCAAATAGAGTGGGAGGGAGGACGAGAGAGAAAAACATCAGTGTAAAAGAGACACATCGATTGGTTGTCTCCTGCACGACCCCAGCCAGGGCTGGGGACTGAACTGCAACCAAGGCATGTGCCGTTGCCTGGAATTGAACCCTCGACTCTTCAGTCTGTGGACCGACACTCTTACCGCTGAGCCACACCGGCCAGGGCCACAAGATAGAACTTTAAAGCGGTGTTTATGTCGCATTGAGTTAGCTAGAATAAACTTTGTTTCTACTTGTGTCTAGTCCTCTTTTTTTACTCATATTCATAGTTAAAAGTTTAACAAAGTGAATCTCATTGACATGTACTCTGCAAATTGATTGTTGTTAACCTAATCTTTATTAGTTATTTCTAAGCAAGGTCTTCAATTTTTTTTCTCTCTTAATTGCAATACAGAAAGCTATGGAATAGATGAAGGTAACAGGATTCCTTTAAAATAACTGCATTTGCTTGCAATTGCAACCTGTGGAATGATACGGGATGTTTCCGTTTTCGGTTAACTTTTATTTTTAAACCTTTTTTCATTGGTTTACTCATGCTGTTAAATCAATGGAACTACTAGCTAAAGTGATTTTAAAGAGGAAAATAGCCATCTAAAATTTGGGTTGAATTTCTGCATGATTTATCTAATTTGATAAACCAGGGGGAGCTGTTTAATTCCATCGGTGATCATACTAATGGGACATGGCAGTGTGGGCTGTGGGCTGCGTTTCTGGCGGGTGAGGCCGCAGCTAGGCCAAGTCCTGGGCCGATCGGAACCATCTCCTAGACTCCCAGTGGGCATTTCTGTCCATATGCCTCCACGTAATTGGTTTTGTGTAAGTCAGCAATCTCATACGTTAATTTGAGACCAATGCTTATAATGTATGTGATGTGTTCAACCTGATTCCAAGTCATATAATTTTGAAAATTTTAGACGCTACCTCTTTAAACTCTTTTAGCTCCATGAATAATATCAAGATAGGAGTATAATAAAGTGGAACACTCTTAAACTTTTAAGTTGCTCTTGACACAATTTTTTTGTTGTCTCCGTGTTTGCAAACTTGAGTTATTTGTAAAATAATTGCCGTAAATAACATTTTTAGCCTTCATATATTAATACCTGAACTAATAGCGCTTATTAATTAAGCATATAACTTGATACTTAGAGAAATTATTTTTTAAAACTATCACATAGATATAAATTAAATCAAACATAAAAAAAATCTACCTGTAATAGAACTCGCTGTTTTGGTAGTTCAACCAATGCTGTTTAAGAGAATTCCACTGTTTAAAGCGTTTTCATAGAAAGATGTCCCTCTGATGACATTTTTACTGGTGGATGTTAATGAAATGAACTGTCACGTGTCATTTCAACATTTGGAATGTTGCTCTTGTGTTTTGACGACTTGACCCTGTTTTGCAGCCAGGGATTATGAGATTCAGAGAGAAAGAATCGAGCTTGGTCGGTGCATTGGAGAAGGCCAGTTCGGGGACGTGCACCAAGGCGTTTACGTGAGCCCCGTAAGTTCGGAAGTCTGGACTTCTTTTGATTGTTTAAGTTTAAATTGCCTCTCGTTTGCCTTCTTAAGTCCTTTCAAGGTGTTGCAGTGGGCTTTTTAAGCCCATCATGTATGTCGGCTTCCTCAGTGTATTACAAAAGGAAAGCTCAGCGGAACCGCTCCGAGAGGGCCGCGTCTGTCTGTGTCACTTGCCTCCGCCAGCCTCTGTCTCGGGCACAGACTCCACAGAAGATTGCTCCATGGCGGGGATTAACACATAGTGACATGGTTAATAGCAGTTAGCCAGTATTCCCACCTGCCTGCGTTTTCAAGAAAAGAACATTAATTTGCCCAATATTGCCCTCCACAAGAGATAAGTGAATTTTTGAAATTATTTATTTACTAATAGCTTTATTGAGATATAATTCCCATGGTATAAAATTAACTCTCTTATATGTACAATTCAGTGGTTGTTTTTAGCATATTCACAGAGTTGTGCAACCATCACCACAGTCTATTTTAGTGCATTGTATTTTACCCCCAAAGGAAACCTCTGGCCCGGCTGGTGTGGCTCAGGGATTGAGCGTCGACCCAGGCACCAAGAGGTCACCAGTTTGATTCCTGGTCAGGGCACATGCCCAGGTTGTGGGCCTGATCCCCAGTGTGGGCATGCAGGAGGCGGCCAGTCGATGTTCTCTCTCATTGATGTTTCTATCTCTCTCTACCTCTCCCTTCCACTTGCTCTAAAATTAATAAAGAAAAAAAATTAAAAAGAAACCCCTGTTAGTTACGTCCTGTTGCCCCCTCCCCCTAGTCCTTGGCAACCACTCATCTTTTTTTTTTTTATCCTCACTCGAGGACATTTTTGCATTTATCTTCAGATAGAGCAGGGAAGGAGAGAGGGAGGAAGAGAGAGAGAGAAACATCAACGTGAAAGGGACACATTGAGTAGCTGCCACCCACATGACCCCAACTGGGGCCGGGGACAAACTGCAACCGAGGTACGTGCCCTTAGCGAGAACTGAACCCGGGTCTCTCTGGTCCGCGGGTCAATGCTCCAACTGCTGAGCCAAACCAGCCAGGGCTCATCTACTTTCTGTTTGTATAAATTGACCTATTCTGGGCATCTCATACAAGTGGAATCATATGGGGTGTGGCTTTTTGTGGTTGTTTCTCTCCGCACAGTGTTTCAAGGTTCACCCATGTCGTGTCATGTAGGAGAACTTCACTCCTTCTCATTGGCAAAGCGCATGCGTGGTGTGGATCCACTGCTTTTTGTTTAGCTGCTCGTCAGCTGGTGGGTATTTGGGATATTGCCACTTTGGGGCTATTATAAATAATGCTACTGTGAACATTCATGTACAGTCTCTGTGTACATGGTTTTCAGTTCTCCTGAGTTTATGTCTAGGAGTGGGACTGCTGGGTCCCACGGTAACTGTAACTTTCTGATGAACTGCTGACGTGTTTGCCAAAGAAGCCGCACGTTGCCATTCCTAGCAGCAGTGTATGAGAGTGCCCGTTTCTCCATTTCCCTGTCAACACTTATTACTGTGTGTCTTTTGATTAGATTAGTAATTTTTAAACGACGCTTAAAGATAAAAGCAATGCTTGCTCGAGAAGCTTCCTTTTGCTAGAATAACAGCAGGTGTAAGAGACCACTGATGAAGCTCCGGCAGCACAGATAGTGGCCCTTGGCAATGCCCTGCTCTGGGCACATGTGCACCCCCAGGAACAGTACGGCCACCATTCTCCACCCTTCACCTGTGCGCCAGAGATGCTCAGCTCGTTTCTGTTACCACCAGAGGGCTGCAGAAGTTTCTGGTCAGGAGCAAAAGATAATTGCCACCATGTAGCTAAACAAATGGGAAGTTCTGGTTTTCAAAGTTCAGTTTTAGAATTTTTTTGTTTGTTTGTTATTGATTTTAGAGAGAAAAGAAAGGAGAGGAAGAGAGAGATAGAAACATCTATGAGAACATTGATTGGCCGCCTCCTGCATGCCCCCTACTGGGGATTGGGCCCACAACCTGCGCTTGTACCCTGATTAGGAGCCACACCAGCTGGGCTCAAAGTTCAGTTTTAAAAGCCTCTACCCTTGTACTTATATAACATGGTACCATCTGTTGCATACTGTTAGCTGACAACAACTCCTGCAAGTGTTTTCACTGCATCTACATCGCTCATCTTCCTCATTCTCTTCACTCTGCTCTTGGAGGCAGAACGCAGTGGGAAGAGCCCTGGGTCTAGATTTAGTCCAAAGACCTACGTTCTAGACCTGCTCTCCCTGACTCTGAGACGTAGGGAGAAGGCTCCTTGGTCGGAAGCACTGCAGGTGAGCCCGGTGGTCTCTGTGCCCCTTCCTTCTCTCACATTCCTGATGGCAAACGCTCTGCAGGTGCCGGTCAGTGAGGTTCCAGGGCACGCAGGTGGCAGCGGGTCGGTGGACTGACTTTGTCCCCTTGTACAACGAGCAGTCCGTCTGTGTTGGGAAAGTGCAGAGAGCAGGGCTGGAAGTGCCCCTAGTCTGGTGCTGACCGAGTCCTGGCCCCCAGAGGAAGACCAGGACTCGGATTCTTTCGTTGAATATCTTTCCGACAAATATTTGCATGTTTATTTTGTTTTTATTTTATTTTATTATTTTTATTTTTTTTTTTATCCTCACCCGAGGACATTTTTCCATTTTTTACTCAGAGCGGGAAGGAGAGAGAGGAAGAGAGAGAAACATCGACGTGAAAGGGACACATCGAGTGGCCGCCACCCACACGAACCAACTAGGGCCGGGGACAAACTGCAGCCAAGGTACATGCCCTTAGCGGGAACCGAACCCGGGTCTCTCCAGACCGCAGGCTGACGCTCTGACCGCTGAGCCAAACCGGCCAGGGCTGCATGTTTATTTTGTTTTTAATGTGAGAGTCTAATTTGACTGTGCAAAATTGTCTTCATTTCTCTGGGTTCCTATTAAAAATCCTTTCCCCTGGTTATGCTCTGTACTGTTCAATAAGATCAAACAGCATTTTATCAAGGGTTTTAGTACCTGGTCAACTGGATTCAGCACAGGTTTCGTGGGCAAGAGCCTACTACTGGTTCCTGTAATGGAGATTTAATGAATTTTTCCAGCAATTATTTATCAAGAGACCTGAATGAAGCAAGGAGGGGAGCAGCCCAGGAGCTTCCCCTGGGGATGAGTGTGGGTGGGAAGCCAAAGAGAGGCCAGTGGGCCTGCACTGGAGTGGAAGAGGAGGGGCCTGGAGGTGAGACCAGAGGGCATGGGCACTGATGGGGCCTGGTGGGCCTTGGGGTCAGACTCTTGAGTTCCTTTCTCAGAGTCAGTAAAGGTGAATTTTAAAGGCTCGTTGGCTTTTTTTCTTTATTGGGCAAGGTTATTGGGCTTATTTTTTATTATTTGAGTATCTGCTGAGAAACACTTGTACATTCTCTCATCATTCTGATCCTCGCCTTATAAACTGGTTTTAAGTTTGTCTTCCTCACAACTTATCCCAGAACAGTCCTCTAGATTTATTTGTTAGAATCTTTTAACTATCTCCCAGCTGTTGTTAACCCTGAGCCTCATCACAGTCTTTGTATAGGAGAGTACATGTCAGAGTGGCATTTTCATTGGACAGTGAAGCTTCTTGCCCTCTTGAATGCTGCCTATATTTTAAACTAATCTGTTTTTTTCCTTTGTGGATTTTAGAGAGAGAGGAAAGGAGAGGGAGCTAGAGAGAGAGACATCGAAGAGAGAGAACATCAAGCAGCTAGCTCCTGCATGCACCCACTGGGGTTTTGACCCACAACCTGGGTCCATGCTCTGACTGGGAATTGAATTGGCCACCTCTTAGTGCATGGGTTGACGCTCAACCACTGAGCCACACCAGCTGGGCTGTCGCCTATCTTTTAAAGAAGTTTTTTAAAAACCATATCTCTCGTCTGGCTGATGTGGCTCAGTGGTTGAGCATCAACCCCTGCACCAAGAGGTCGCTGGTGCGATTCCCAGTCAGGGCACAAGGCCCAGGTTGTAGGCCCGATCCCTAGTGGGGGGCATGCAGGAGGGGGCCAATCGGTGTTCTCTCTCATAGATCTTCCTTTTTTTTTATCCTTACCCGAGGACATTTTTTCCTTTTCTGTTCAGATAGAATGGGAGGCAGAGACAGAGAGAGAGAAACGTCGATGTGAAAGGGACACATCGAGTGGCTGCCTCCCGCATAACCCAATCAGGGCCGGGGACAAACTGCAACCAAGGTACGTGCCCTTAGTGGAAATCGAACCCAGGTCTCCCTGGACCTCAGGCCGACGCTCTAACCGCTGGGCCAAACCGGCCAGGGCTCTCATGGATCTTTCTCTCTCTCTCTCTCTCCTTCTCACTCATCTCTCTCTAAAATCAATAAAGGAAAAAAAAAATCCATATCTTGAGCAGTTATGTAGACATGTTTGCCTCTTTTAAAGGTTTTTTAGAAATGAGGGGAAAAGGAGAAACATCTGTAACAAAAATAAAATAATAAAAATAATTTTTTTAAGAAAAAATATTTCTTAAATAATTTTTTAGGAAAAAATCCTTTGAGCTGACTTCTCCTGTATTCAGGTTCCTCCATTGCCCATGGTGACGGGTCGGGCTTTTATTCTAAGTATGTTGGAAACAGAAGCCATTGGAGGAGGTTAAGCAGAATCATGAGATGCCCATTGGAGACTGGGTTGCAGGCGGCACACGTAGATGGTGCTGGCATAGCTAGGCAGATTCTGGGTGCATGCTCTGGGGAGGGACCATTGACTGGGCCCTTGGTTGTTGGATGTACAGAGAGGGGGGAGATGGAGGAATCCAGATGGCCCCCAGGTTGTTTACCTGTGTCAGTACTGTTTGCTTAGTGAGATGGAGGAGATGAAGGAAGACACAGGTTTGATGGTAGGTGTGCTGGTCAGGGTCCTGGGAGGCACCTGCAGAAATCGCAGCATGAAGCTAGATGAGGGGTGGTTCTGGCAGAGACAGCATAAAATGAGCAGGAGGTAAGCACTCACGTCGCTGGTCAGGGCCGTCCATGGCCTTCCGTCGACTTGCTCAAAGTGGCCTCTTACTTCTAAAGCTGTCTCTCGAACTTGTTCAAGAAAAGGTCAGCTTCCCTGCCTCCCAGAACAACACCGTCGGTGCCCCTGCATTCCTCCGGTCTCCCACCGCATTACCTGGTAGAGCTCCCGCCCTCTGCCTCCAGGGCGACTTCCTCTCTGTCCACATTGTGACTGCTCCAGACTCTCTGCAGGCCAGGCCCCTGCTGCCTACACACCGTGTGACTCGGTGACGGGGCCTGTCACAGGCATAGCTGAGCCCCCCCCCCTCCCCCCCCGTAAACCTGACCCAGCTCCTTCCAGGTGCAGTCCCCTTCCTCTCCTCCGCTGGCCCGCACTGGCCCGAGCTGCCGCTCTCTGTGCCTGCCTTCCCTCCCCCTGTGGCCCTTTCTCAGCACCACGCAAGTGTCCCCCCACACTGCTGTCTCCCCTAGAGTAGAGAGCTTTGCTTCTATTAGCCCCTCCTGCCTGGGCCTCTGCTGCCCTCTGAGCTTGTGGCCTCCACCTGCCCTCACCACAGCCCAGCCTGGCGCACTCAGTGCCCCTCCTAGGGCTGTGCCCTGGGCTCCCCAGACGGCTGCGGCACAGCAGCACCCACCTCCCACACCACTGTGCGTTTCTCCACCCAGTGTCTCCTCCTGCTGCCACCATGGCGGGTCTCTGTGTTCCTTGTCCTTGCTCTCCCCTGGAGAGGCATGGCTGCCCCTGTTCGCTGTGTACCCTTGGCCCCAAGAAGTGCCTGCGACATTGCAGAAAAGAAGGCAGCACATCCCCCGCGGCAGTGCAGGCCCACGCCCGTCCCCCCTGGGTTCACGAGGCTTCAAGCGCCCCAGCCTGAGACCTTGCACTCGGGTGCTGTCGGGCCCCGTGTCCTCGTGGCTGCAGAGCAGCAGCCCTGTGGGCGTGCCCCGCTGCAAGCAGGGGGCCTCTGACATCTGTGTGACTCTGGTCTCCCCACAGGAGAATCCAGCTTTGGCGGTCGCAATTAAAACGTGTAAAAACTGCACCTCCGACAGCGTCAGAGAGAAATTCCTTCAAGAAGCCTGTAAGTTTCTAGGAAAATTCTGTGGAATTCCATTTGACTTTATCTGTGAAATCCAAACTGTCTGAAGAAGAAAAATAATGTTTTGACTTTTATGAGACAACCCCTTTTATTATCTTTCCTTGCAAATTAGGTAACTATTTTTATAGGTCATAGTTACAGCTTTTTCTGGGTAAGCCAGGATGTTTGGGTTATAAAGATAGATTGACTTACTGTCCCTTTGTCCTCCAGTACCTTTTTTTTTTTTTTTTTTTTTTATCCTCACCCGAGGACATTTTTCCATTTTTTGTTCAGGTAGAGTGGGAGGAAGAGAGAGGAACAGAGAGAGAGAGAGAAACATCGATGTGAAAGGAACACATCGAGTGGCTGCCACCCGCACAACCGACCAGGGCCGGGGACAAACTGCAACCGAGGTACGCGCCCTTAGCGGGAACTGAACCCGGGTCTCTCAGGACCGCAGGCCGACGCTCTAACCGCTGAGCCAAACCGGCCAGGGCGTCCTCCAGTACCTTGTACCATTAAAATCTTCGCCCTGGAAGTGGGCAGATATAGAAATGGTCCCAGCACACGTGCTGTAGGCCCCGGAGTTGGGAGGGAGCAGGTGGACAGTCCCCTGGTCCTGCTGTACTGGGTTCACGCCTCCCGCTGCCTGGGGGTCACATGCGGGGAAGTCTTCTGTGCTGGATGTGCACTCGGAGAGACAGGAGCTTGTTCTGTCCGTTTGTGCCCATCAGGCTCCCTCCCACCTGCCCTCAGCTGGGACTCCTCCCTCCTCGCCCGTTCCTGGGTCCCTTCCCATCTGACCGCAGACAGTGGTCTCTCCTCAGAAGCCTCATCACGGGCCATGGTCTTTCCTTCCCAAGTATTCATGACTAAAAGCCTTGCTTAAAGGTTGTTATCGTCACTCTCTCCCTGTGGGCTTTGAGCTCCATAGGGAACAGAGACTGTCTGCTTTGCTCACAGAAGGCACTCGGCAGTGTAAGTCAGGAACCCACCTGTGACTTCATCAGTTCTGTCTAAGTACAGCCTTAATCCTGCTCTCTCTCTAACGTGCGTACCACACAGGCCTGGCAGGACTGTCTCATAGTTCTCACTGCAGAGCATCTAGGCCAGGAAACTGTGGAATGCATCAGCCGTCACCACCTAACAGCCTGTCGAGAGAGTAACTGCACTCTGTTCTCCCCTAGTAACCATGCGTCAGTTTGACCACCCTCACATTGTGAAGCTGATTGGCGTCATCACAGAGAACCCTGTCTGGATCATCATGGAGCTGTGCACGCTTGGAGAGGTACCGTGTGCCAGGCCTGGCCTGCAGGCGGGCTGCCCCGTGTGCCCAGACCCACCTGTGTGGGTGGGCTGCCAGGGCAGGTCAGCGCAGTCAGTACTCAGGCAGTCCACGTGGGCTGTGTGGTGTCCTTTGTTAAGAAAGGGAGCTGTACATTGTGTCCCCCGTGGTTTTGATTCAGAGGATGGGGTGCAGTGTCCTCCTCATTACATTCCCCAGCCATCCCCTAACTTAGTCTGCGCTGGCCCACAGTTTTGTCAGGACTGGAGGTACCAGGTGACCACGTGGTTCTTTCTCCTTCTCTGGTGCTGGCCCCTCAGAACTGGCCTAGTGGCGTGAGGCCTGAGCAGCCGTGGTGGGTTCATGCTGAGCGCTGGTGGTCTGAGCAGCTCCTTAGGCTTCTTGAGAACGCACTCTGCGGAGGCTTTCGGAGCAGCGGCACTGTCACCGCTTCTCTGCATGTGAGTGGCAGAGCGGGAGCAGTCCTCGTCTTTCTCCCGGACACGGAAGCCCTCGACCAGGGTCTCAACGCCACCTGGAAATGTGTCCCGGTGCGAGTGCCGTGCCCGGCCAGGCTGCTCGCTCAGAACCGCAGGCGGGGCGGGGCAGCGCAGCCCAGCACCCCACTTCCATCTGCGGGCTGGCTGGGGACAAACACGGGTTGATTTTTCAGATTCCGACACTTAACTTTCTACTACTGAAACTTAGTAGTGCAGCCTTCGAAAACATGCCCCACGCTCTCGTCGTGTAAAGGAGACCAAGCACAGCTTTGTTCTGAGTACTGGGTTGCCAGCCACCAGGAACCGAGATGTGGCTTGCTCCTTCCTCCTCCTTGTGACAGCATCAGGTGCCCCCTCCTCTGAAAGGGTCCTCCCTGCACGTGCTCAGGGTTAGCTGGATGGAGCCTCCCCTCTTCTGTGCTACCTTTTCAGATAAGATGGAGTATTTTTATGTTTTATACAGTGTTTTTTTGCTTTTGCTCTGGAAGAATTTGCTAATTCTTCAGGATTAGAAAATTATTGCTAAATGTTTCTTTTTTATGTATTGATTTTGTAGAATTAGAGTGTTCAATTCCTCTACCTTTCTTTGCTATGTCAACATTTAGCTGAATTAATCATGACAGTGGTAGTAGGCACTGATTAGCCCAGTGGGATAAGTACCCAGCATGTGGCCGGTTTACCTTTCTGCACCCAAAACTCCATGGGGGCAGCGAGGGGGGGACACCGCTCCTTGCCTTCCTCCCCCACCATCACCGTATCCTCAGACCTGCCGGGATGCAGCGAGGTTCGGAGTGGCAGGAGCTGACCATGCTTGTGTGTGGCTTGTTCGAGTGGTAACTAGCTGTCATTATTCAGCAATATGTAGTGCTTTTATTTATTCCCTGGAAACATCTCTGATTTTTCTCAAAAGTTGGTCTATAGTCATGAAGATTCCAGCTTAACAGTAGGATTTAAAATAAAGAATGCTTAACCATAATTTCTGAGCTAGGATGTTTCATTCGCACGCTTTTTGTATGAGGGAGAATTGAAGCGTTCTCATTAAATGCACTTGGAGATGGGCAGTGTTGTTGGATGTGGCTCTTTTGCTGTGGATTCTGTTCTCCATCACTAACCTTTCCTTTTCATCTGGTCACTGTCCCACAGCTGAGGTCATTTTTGCAAGTCCGAAAGTACAGCTTGGATCTGGCGGCTTTGATCCTATACGCCTACCAGTTGAGCACAGCTCTCGCGTACCTGGAGAGCAAGAGGTTTGTGCACAGGTAAGGTCCAGGCAGGGCTGTGTGCCTGACCTGGGCGTGCAGTGCAGGTACCACCCTGGCCTCGCCAGTGACGGCCGTGGGTGCCCTCTGGAGTTTGTGATTACGGCCTGGTCCAGGGTGGTGCAGGGGGAGCTGGCATGGTCAGCGCGTCGTATCGGTGCTGCGACGGTGCCCTGGCACCGCGTTAACTGCTGGGAGCCACCCCCCTCGCCTGCTCTGAGGCCGGCGGGCCCAGGCAGGCTGTGGTCACTATCAATGATGCCGCTGCAGTGCGATTGGTTGAGAAGTCATGAGTGGTTTTACTATTTGAGAATATTGTTATTGCCATCACTCAAGATAGTGATCATCATATTAACGATTGAATATCTGCCAGAAGGAATATATTTGAAGTAAAATGATAGTGCCCTTTTTTCAGTGTGATGACTCTACTGTTTGCATTGTATATAAGCTGTCTTTCAAAGCACCTACATGTCTGTAGAGTAGAGAGGCCTCTATGGGGTTCTCTGTTTGCTAACATTTGTGTCCCAAATGCTTTCTTACCCAGGGACATTGCTGCTCGGAATGTTCTGGTGTCCTCAAATGACTGCGTGAAACTCGGAGACTTTGGACTCTCCCGATACATGGAAGACAGTACTTACTACAAAGGTAAGGCCGGGGAGTGAGCTAGCAGTAGGCTCAGCAGCTTCGAGGGCTTTATTTCTCTAAAGAACCGCACTCAGCGATGGCTGACAGGCGTGACGTCAGTTCGGGGAGGACAGCCCGCAGGTGCTGTGCTGGAGCTGCAGCGGCGGGCAGGGTGGCCCACCTGGCCTGGAGCTCACAGCGTCGTAGGCAGCTGCAGCATGTTCACCTTCTAGGAGAAACACGAGTGAGTCTTTGGGATCTAGGGCTGGGCAAAGAGCCCTCAGACCCGATGCCACAGCATCCATAGCAGGAAAAGACGGATGGACTGGACCTCATCAAATGAAAGGCTTCTGTACTACAAAAGACCTGTTGAAGAATGAAAAGAGAAGGAAGAAAAGATTTGCCAACCACATAGCTATCCAACAAGGAACTAATGTCTAGAATACAGAAAGACTCTCAAAACTCAGCAGAGAAAAGAAACAAAGAAAGAAAATGGGCAGAAGATAAGGAGAAAGGTTTGACTACAGAGGAGATGGCAGCTAAGTACATTACTCATTAGGGACAAGCAGATTGAGGCCACAGTGAGATACCACTGTGGACTTATCAGAATGGCTCAAATGAAACACTGATAACTTCAGTGCCGCCAAAGACACCGAGAAACTCAGTTACTGAAACTGCTTGAGAGAAAGTAACATGGTGCAGCCGCTCTGGAAAAGAGCGCAGATTCTTTTTTCTTTTCATCCTCACCTGAGGATATGGTTTGTTTTTTGTTTTATTGATTTGGGGGGGGTGGGGGACGCGCCCCAACCAAGGATCGCACCTGAAACCTAGGTATATGCCCTAACCGGGAATCAAACCCAACCTACCGTTGTTGGGACGATGCTCCAGCCAACTGAGCCACACCAGCCAGGACACGAGTATGCAGATTCTTAAAAACCTAAGCATCCAACTACCCTATAACCATCAGTGACACTCTTGGGCACTTCTGTAGGAGAAATGGAAACTTGACACAAAACCTATATTTGAATGTTCATTGCAGCTTATTACTAGTAGCCATAAGTTGGAACTAGCCCAGGTGTCCTTCAGCTGGTGGACATAGGCAGCTGACAGCAGATGGGGCTGTGCCTTGGCCCAGTGAAAGGCGTCTGACTACACATCTCAAGTCGGCCAACTCCAGGACTCGGTCCATAAGCTTGGGAACTGAAATCTAGCTCCTGTGGTTTTTCTTTAATTTGCCGATCTTGAATAGACTGACTTGTTTCTTCAAATTATTATTGAACAATGCTTTTATTAATGGATGTCCACGTTCCTAGCGCCAAGGCCTCCGTTGCTGACCCATGTCGTGCCGTCAGCGTGTGCTCTGGCACTGCTGCCCTCCACAGAGGCCGGTCTCTTCCCGGGTGTTCGACTTCCTGTAGCTCCGGACTGTTCTCCTTCCACACGCTTCCTGTGCTGCGGCCTGAAAATGTCAGCAGGGGTCCTTTGTTGCATGAAAAGGAAATCCTTTCGTTGTATATACATTTCAGTTATTTGGTCATTTAACTGTAAACAACCAAGTCAGCTCTCTACTATTTTAAAATACTGTTCATGTCCAGCTCAAATCCTAACTGATCCAAGACCTAGAATCCCAGTAAAGAGCTAAACTCCAAACAGCAAGGTGGGCAAAGCTGCCATCACAGAGCTGTGAATGGGCAGTGGACAGCCACGCAGACGTCTCCCAGAAAGGTCAGTGCGGGGCCACTGGGCTTCGAGAGAACTGCCCCAGCTGCTGGGCCTTCAGGTCGGAGCACAGCACGAGGCACTTTGTCCTGAAGGAGTCAAACAGCATTTGAGCCAAGTTGTCAAGAAGGGGCTGGAAGTTCGATGGAAAAGTGTAAATGTGAGGAATGTCATTGTCTCCCGATGACAAGTCCCCAGAGGCAAGCTCAGGCTGGCCCCCCAGGTGCCTGGGCCTCGTGCTCTGAAGACGATGGGACCTACTGGGACCGTTGTCTGGGTTGAAGACTGAGCTGAGCATGTGCATGTAATACTTCCCTGGGCATGGTGGTTCAGGGTTCGGGGTGACTTCAGGCATGGGAATGGGCTGCCTGTCCTTAGCAGGCCATGCCTGCAGCGAGGGCCCCGCCCGCCCTAGGGCTGCCAGGGAGCCTCCCTGACGTGCCCTCTCCATCCTGCTCCCATCTTCCCGAGAGGGCACCCATGTGCCCGGGCGACCTCGTCCCCACCCCCGCCCGGTGTGACCTCGTCCTCCCAGGGACCTCAAGACATCAAGGAACGGGAAAGGAGTTCTCCCATGAAACACAAGTCCGAGGGTCAAATAGTTAACGCTTTTTATTTTGATACTAAAAATCTCAGCTAGCTATAACTACTAGATTCTTCAGCAGATAACAGGGAAAATTTACTTTCTAAAATTAATCTTCTAGCTTCCAAAGGAAAATTGCCTATTAAATGGATGGCTCCAGAGTCCATCAATTTTCGACGTTTTACCTCAGCTAGTGATGTATGGATGTTTGGTGAGTATTTTGGAAGGCTTTGTGTTTTTCTCGTGTCCCCCAGTCTACTGAGAACTGAGCCCGGCCTCCGAGCCCTAGGGTGGTTGCCTCCCCTGCGTTAAGCCCTCTTTGGTTCGTGCGCAGATGGTCGGGGAGCCCAGGTGCCCATTCCAGGCGTGGCTTCTTCCAGGTCGCGCCGAGTCCTCTTCTGTCCCTCTTCCCTTGCTTTCCTTTGCCGTCACCTGCCACAGGGAGAGTGCCCTCCCCTCCTCCCTGGCTCTCTGCCATCTCTCCCCTTCCTTCCCCGGCCTGGGTGAGCTGCCCACTTGGCTCTGCGATGGCCCTCGAACCCGGGGCCTCCTTCCTGACTGTCCCAGCCAGGGTGTGACCCTTTCTCTGTGCCCCTGCTCCTTCAGTGTCTGCTCTGCCCTCCTGCCCAACCGCGCCAGGCAGCGCCCTCCTCCTGCTGCCCGTCATTGAGCGTCTCCCCGTGAGTGGGGAGGGCTCATGCACCACACTGCCAACAGCAGCTCCCAGTCCAGGTTTTCCATTCCTACCTTTCAGATGGGTGACACTCCCTCCCCCACCCCTTCCTGCTGTGGCTCCTCCCCCCTGGAACACCTTGTCCTGCACCCTCTCCCCACCTCAAGGTCACCTGAGATGTCTCCCTTCCATGAAGCCTCATGGAGAAGGTGTAGCGTCCAAACGTGAGCTTCATGTCTGCCCTTCCTGCCCTTCTCCGTCCTGACGCGCACGTGGGTCCGCGCAGCCTTTGGCCGTCTTCCCTCCGCCAGTGTGTGTGCCTTCCTGTCAGTGACCCAGCTCCTCTGCATCTAGTGTGCTCCTGCTCGCCTGTCTCCTGTTGCCGACGGCGGTCGCCATTTCTCCCTCACCGAGCCTGGGTCCAGGAGGGGCCTCTGGCAGAGCAGGAGGGAGCCGGACAGGGTCAGGAAAGGTTCTGGGGTCCAACCGACCGGCTTCAGTTCCCAGGACCTCGCTTGTTAGCTCTGTAACCCGGTTGCAGAGCTACTTAACCTCTCGAGAGGTTACTTAACCTCTCGAGGGAATTCCATACTTCAGAGATGCTAAATGCCCGGTTTTCTCACATTTTAATGTTTCTAGAACTGGGCTGTGTCGCTAATCAGTGGCATTTTCTACACTTGGGTTAGTGGCGGCATGTTTGACCTGGCTGCCTTGCCGCACTCATGAGGGCTTTGTCTGTTTTATTCATGTTTCTGTTACTTTCTTGCCTGGATGAATTAGAAGAGCTTTTGGTAAGAATAAAGTAATTCTAAGAGATAACAAAGGGTTGTATCGTAATTTAGTCGGCAGCATCTCCCCTCTTCTTGGCCATATAAAATGATGCTGTATCTCACAGTCCGTGGCCCCTTAGACTTGGCCAGACCCAGTTCCTAAGGAGATGAGAGTGTGAGGACTAGGATGATGTGCACACTCAGAGAGGGGCGCCAGCAAGGTGCCTTCAGAACGGGCACCTGGCGTCCGCGTTTCTGACGATGTCGCCGCCTCTGTGAGACGGAACTGGGGCGTGACTCTTCTCGTGCACTCTTCACTCGGAAATCACTGGACTTTGGCTCAGTCCAGGGTCTGATTCGTGTTTCCAGGAGAGCGTGCCATGCCTCCTCTGAGGGACATGCCACTTAGGAGCTGAAGATGCAGAGAAAGTCCCAGTGCCTCTCCTGGGGCCTCAGAGCACCGCGCACTGAGGAGGGAGGGAGGGAGCCGAGGTGCCCGGAGCATCGGGAAGGGCCCCAGGAGGGCCCACAGACCTGGCTCAGACGAGGAGAGCTCGTGGAGCGGGAGCGGCGTGCAGCTGGAGAGGCTCACAGGCCGAAAGAACATGTGTGGCATGTTCAGGGTGGCAGGTCTCCAGGGGCCAAAGCGCCATGTGGTGATCACACGCCACCAGGAGAAGCCACCCTCCCTCTGTGCTGGGGCTCGGTGCCCGGGTCATTCGTAGGGGTCATCATTTTCAGTTATAGGTTTGGTTCGCTTGTTGTATGCTCAAATGTTCTTCAGATGATACTGAGAATATGTGATTCTCAAGGGTCGAGTGTGAGGATACTTCCTGAGGTTGACTGTGGCGTTTTGGATGAGAAGTCCCAGGCATAGTGGCTGACTGGTGGGTGAGCCAGACGCTAGTGCCACTGTGTGCCTCAGCCAGGACCGGCCATCCACGAGAGGACAGCGCCAGAGGGATCTGGGCATTCTGACAGTGCAGGACTTCCGTGTCGGGCTTCCGTGTCGGGCCTCAGGTCAGCCGCTGCGCTGGGGGAGCTCGGAGCTGAAACTCATTCCGCTGCGTTTGAGCTGGTCACTGAGCCAGGAAGTGACCCTGAGGTTGGCAGACCGTTTTCTAATAGAGGATTCTTAGAGAAGAAAATCTTGTAGAAAGATTATGGATTTGTGTATGGTAATTTAATATTTAATGACTCATATTAAGTTAGTGTTGCTGTGCTTACCAGAGCTCACTGACTGCTTGTCTCGCTGATTGCCCGCATCGCTGGTGCTCTCGGCCACTCTGAAGCGATGCCTGCTAAGCCCTGTTCTGTTCTCATCCCGTTCCACAGGTGTGTGTATGTGGGAGATACTGATGCATGGTGTGAAGCCTTTTCAAGGAGTGAAGAACAATGATGTGATCGGGCGAATTGAGAATGGGGAGAGATTGCCAATGCCTCCAAATTGCCCTCCCACCCTCTACAGCCTTATGACGAAATGCTGGGCCTATGACCCCAGCAGGCGGCCCCGGTTCACTGAGCTCAAGGCTCAGCTCAGGTAGGAGTGGGGGGAGAGAGGGCCGGGCTGGGCAGGTGCTGCTGCTCCCTGAGTGTTAGCGTTCGAGGTTACTTTCTCAGTATTTCGAAGGCTAACCTGCTTCTTGGGCAAACATAATTTTTAAATTGATTTGCATTTATTTATACCTTACAAGAGTCTTGAGTAGATTATATCTTCAAATGAATTTCAAATGATGATAAAGTCTCTCTCCCCTAACTTCTAACTGACTTAGCGTGGCATGCAAGGTCTGCAGTAACGTGGTCCCTGCTTACCTGTTCCGGCGCATCTCACACGGCTCCTTCGCCGCAGTCCTCGGCCCCAGCCGTGCCTAGCCGCCTGCCTTCTCCCGGCACGGCCCTGCCTCTTCTCATGCTGTCTTCTGCCAGACACGCTTCCCTGCCTTCGGCCCCAACGAGCCCTATTCCGTCGGTAGAATCCAGCTCAGGTGTCACCTCCTTCAAGAGGCTTCCCTAACCTGCCCTGACCCCAGAGACAGCACTCCTGTGCTCCCTTCCAGAGCTGCTGTTCTCCCAGGGGGACAGCCGCATCGCCCTTCAGCTGCCATCAGAGGCTCCTCTTCGTGCCAGGCTGTCAGACCCAAACCTTCCGTAGCTCCCAGTGCCCTGGAGGGCGCACGCGGGACGTCTCAGCGCGCCAGCCTTCCGCTGTCTGCAGAACCACGTGCACCTGGCCTGGGTGTTTCTCACTGGCTGGCTTGTGTCCCCAAGCAGACTCCGGCTCTTGATGATGGCCCTGCGTCTTACTCTTTTCTGTAATCCCAGAGTTTGGGACCAGGCACCGAATAAGCGCTCAATAAACAGCTGTCTAATTGGATTAAGATGCATCCAGATTAACGCTTGACACTTTAATAACCAACCAGTGCCGTGGTTTATTGAGTGTCTGTCACCTGTTTCATATTTGGGGTGCTTCCCTGACTGAGCGGCTGAGCTGGCTCCTGGCCCGCACCGCCTGCCCGCGGCCAGGGGCCGCTCCAGGGCACAGAGCCCGCCTGCCCCGCATTTCTCGTGCCGGGTCTTCCGTGTTCCCAGAAGGCCTTCTCCGAGCTACATGTCTCACCTCCTGATGCCCCTGTGGCTTACTTATGTTTCTCTCACTGCTAGAGCTGTGTTTGAATGGACTGGATTTCATGTTTTGCTCATAAACTTGTTTGTTCCTCTTCGATCTTTCCTCGCAGTTGGACATTCTGCCCTTGCAATTTCTCCCTCTGATTCCAGTTCCACGTACTGCCTCCCTGACATTCTGTCTGTTGACCTTGCACCCCTGCTCATGGCTCAGCAGTGACGAGGTTTCAGCTCTGGACCCCTCCTCTCCGTCCTCCTGGGTTCTCGGAGGTGCTCTGGGCTGGGCTTCCTCCTCCGCTGTCATCAGCTTCCGGCTGTGCTGCCTTTTCTCGCGGCCCCACCCTCCTTTGCGATCGTGCGGGCGTCGCGTTTCTCCAGAGCAAAGAGATTGCCTCCTCCTCAGCCCCTCACCTTCCGTGGGTGACATTGAGGCCTTTGTCTTCCTGTCCATCTTGGAGTCATGGGCACTTCCTTGCCCGCCTGCCCCTGGCAGCTGGAGAGGCTTCCCTGCCCGGCCTCCAGCCCCGTCTCTCCTGACTCCGCTCTCCTGCCCGGCGAGCTCGAGCCCGCCTTCCGCAGTCCGCCTTCCGGGGCTCCGGCGCTGCCGTGCTCTGCTCGGGGGCTTTCGGAGCAGCCCTGCGGCTCCTTCCAGGGGCTGCTCCGTCCTGCCCCTCTCACACTGTGCCCGAGCTGGCCCTCCCTGCCTGGCCTGCCTCCTCCCCCGGCGAGATCCTGTCCGTCCTTCTGGGCTTCTGTCGCGTGCTGGCTGTTCCGTGACTTCCCAGCTGACTGGCTCAGCCCTCGGAGCCCTCAGAGCACTGCTTGCCTCATCGCCCCCACGCGCTGCCGCGCCCGCCGTGCCCACCGTGCCCGCCGTGCCCGCTCAGCCCGCAGACACTGCACCGCCGTAGTTGGCCTGGTGCTGTCCCTGGGCAAGATGACTAGAGCACTTTTCCTGCCCTCGAGGAGCTCACAGTCTAGTATGTCTCATCCCTACTAGACTGAAGCTCCTTGAGGACAGGGATCGTCATACTCACCTCGGTGCCGCCCACCCTCCAGGCCAGGAGCCTAGACCCCTCAGGGCCCGGTGGCCCGGGTTCCTTGCTGAGCACATGCAGACTAACATTGACATTGATTTAAGGACTGTTCCTTCAGGTAAATTAACTCCAAAAAACTGTCCACGATGAAGTTTTAGAACTAAATAGAATTATTTTCAAATACACACACACATAAATATAATATACCTAGACTATAATTTATGGATATTTTCCTGTGCACAGTTAGCACAAGCCATTGAGAAATAATTGATTCTGTATTGTTCTGTCTTAGTCAGAAGTGAGTTTAACTCTGCATTTGGACTTGTGTAATAATGCTACCAAATAGACCAGCAAAGTTCACCTGTAATCTACCAGCTTACTTGGTCACTTACATGTGCGGGTGTACCACAATAATGAAGTAGGTTCTTTTTCTGAGTTTTTCAAAAGTTTAATTATATCCAAGATGTTAACAAAGTAATAAATTTCAGAAAGTCCTTACCTGGGGCAGTTAAAAATGTCTCCCAAATCCCGTTCTCCTTGTCTGCAGACAGACTCAGCTCACTGAGGCCTCCACCCCCTTGGGGCGCACGCGTGCCCCTTCCTCTGCGCTGAACCTTGTCAGGCGGACTCACGAAGTGCTGTTCAGTCTCCTGGGCTGATCTCTGACTCAGAGTCTGTCCTCACCCCGTTGCCTTACTCATAGATGTGAATTCACTGGGACTCAGAACGAGACTAGCCTGTAGGCGGCCGAGTTTCGAGTGTAGAACCCTCAGCAGGAGTATGGGGCAGTGACCTGCAGGGGAAGTTTCTCTACGTGGTCTCTGGCGGTTTTGTGCTGTGTGACTGACGGCTGATGGGTGTACACTGAGTGACTTTTGAATGAAAAAGTCAGTTCATCACTGATAAATTCAGTTAAACTTTGGTAGATACGATGCCAAGGAGATCACAATAGACAGCGCTGTCTGCCCTTTGGGACTTGAGGCTCTGCCCCAGCTCTCTCTGCTAGACGGGGGTTGGCTGCACACCGGTCCAGGGAACTGTTTCCGCTACTGCGCAGCTTCCTGAAGCCTTTTAGACAAATGAAGGCAAAAAAACAAAAACAATTGTCAATTAAAAGTTTATACCATAATTGATATATTTTTAAACTTTTTATTGGCGTACAAAGATGTGAACATGTAAACATGCCAAGAAGTGAATGGCTCATTGAATTTTCACAACCAGCATCCAGAACAAGACAGCAACGCTGGCCCAGACCCCGCCGCTGCCCTTCCGGTCGCTGTGCCCCTCAGGGCTCACACTGACGTGGCCAGTTCGCCTGTCTGAGCGCCCTGTCAATGGAGGCCTTCAGTACGGACTTGGTGTTTGGAGTGGGTTTTGCTCAGCATCTGTCTGAGAAGGTCCCATTGTTTGGTGGCTGTGCTGCGTGCTTGTGCCGTGTGCAGTCTGTGTGTGAACGTAGCGTAGTTGAACCACTCCGCTGTCGGTGGAACCTCGGATCCTTTCCAGTTTGGGGCTGTCGACACTCTTGCCCTGTGAACATATAATAGTGGGTGTCTCTTGGTGAGCACGTGAACAAGGGTGTCAGTTGGGTATGAATCCAAGAGTCAGCCGTGTGCACCAGTCTAGCTTCAGGAGGTGCCGCCGGTCCCCAGCGTGGACATGCAGCGAGCCCCCAGCAGGCACGACTGCTGTCCTTCTGCAGCCACAGCCTGTGCGAGCCTTTGGCAGCCACTCCTGATTCCCAGCACGCCGTTTGCAGTGGACGCTGCGGTCAGAGAAGCTGAGTGGCGGGCAGACTGGTCACCTGACCTTTTCTGTCCCAGGGACCTTGGCCTGGTGAAGCAGCTCCCTGGAAGGCGGCCCCTGGTTTTGAGTGGGTCCCGTCACTGAGCGCTGGGAAGACCTTTAGAGCCAGCATGTGTTCACTGATGCAAGTCTCCCTCACTCCAGTCGGCTGACTGGTTGTGACCTTCAGAGCCAGTGTCACCGGAGCGCTATGTGTGGCAGGCGTTGTGCTTTATTCTGGTCCTCACGTCTGGGGGAGGTGGCGCTAGCATTGGCAGTTTGCTGAGACCCTGTGGTAAGGTAGCAGACCTGGGTCAGGGCTGGGTCCCAGGCAGGTCCACCTGAGGCTGGGCCCGAGCTGCCAGCCCTGCTCCGCACCTCAACGGAGACGTGCCCAGAGGTCGCTAGGTGCCCGTCCTATGATTCGGCCTGTGAGCAGCTGACTAACGTCGTCTGGTTAAAAGGGAAGAAGAAGAAAACATATTTTACAAGGAGTTCCCACTGCTGGTTTTCTTAACATTTGTTTGAGAAGTTTTCAATGAGCCTGAGTCTCTAGGGTGACTTGAGGCAAGGTGGGGGCCAGCCCTGCAATGCGCGGTCAGTCCGCAGGTACCTGCTGTGATACTTCCATGTGCATGGCAGGGAGCCTGTCGCAGCTTGGGGGCGGGGTGTTTGTTATTTTAACTTCATGTTGTCATGTTTGCTTCTTCACTTTGTCATACAAAGCTGGCCTTGGAGACAGCTACAACCTGGAGTGGCTGCAGCCCCCGATTTATGCAACTTTAAAATGACCTCTCCATAGCATATCCACGTGGATGTCAGCTGGTCTGTGAGGCTGCCAGTTCAAGCCAGCAGCACCTGCAGGGTAAATGGTGTGTGTGTGTGTGTGTGTGTGTGTGTCCTACATAAGTATGAGATCAGCGAACACTTGAGTGTGGAGGAATTTAACCCTGTGTTTGCAGCTCTCTACTTTGTGTTATGAAGGTTAGACTTGAAAAGGCTGTGTGGCCTTGGACAAGTGGCTCAGTGTCCCTGTAAGAGCAGGATCACAAGTCTACCTACATGTAGTTTCAAGGTAAACGAGCTCATCTGATCT